TTTGTTTTGTACATTCTACCTAAATTTTCAGGATGGTTTAAAGTCAAAGAATACTTCTCATTTTGTATATTATGGTTGTATATACTTTTTGTATAAGCACATACATTATTAGTAGCACTATAATCATATTGTATATAATCAAATTACAAGATATTCTGCTTTTTTATATAGAATTATCCACATGCATGGCAGAATTTTACTCAATATTGTTTTATTTATCTCATCCCTTTCTCTTGAAATCAATTTCTTTTTCTCAAATTGGTCCTTTAGATGTTAATCTAATGATAGAAAGAAGTGTTCTATTGACAGTAAGACTTGTTAGTCTAATTAAACTTGTCCTTATTTTACATTTTATTTCAATAGTGTTTTATTTAAAAGCTATTTGGCCAATATCTTATATTGCTCTTTAGAACTCTTCTATTAGTTTAATTGCCATTTATTTGTTGGTAATATTTATGACATTTTTTGTTATTTTTTAATCTGTCTTTTAAAAATATTTTTCTATTATTGTTTCAAACATTTTAATAATTATACACTTACATCTGGTTTTCATTAAATATATATTCAGTATATATGTCTTGTCATCATACATGTCTTTAATTATATGTATCAATATATGAATATGTATACATTTTATTTTATATATATGTATATAGTTATTTATAGTAATTCTTCAATATTTATCTTGATATATTTTGCCAGTGTTGGAAAACTCTCAGCCATCATATCATTCAATATATAGATTTTTTACTTTTCTTTACCTTTTTTATTCTCACATGTCATTTTCACATATATTAGAATGATGTACTTTTTCATTGTTCATCATGTATATATCATACACCTTTCCTATTTCACATGTTTATCTCTCTTTGCTTTAGTTGGGATATTTTCTTCCAACTTCCAGTTCACTATTTTTCTCTCTACCATGAGATGATATCTCATAAACCCATTTACTATACTTTACAGTTCCAAAATGTCTGTGTTTCTTTCTATAGTTTCCAGATTTCCAGACAAATAATTCTGTGTTGTATTTTATGTTAATATCAATCATAGTTATTCTTAATTGTGTATGAAAACTTTATCTGAATTGTTGGTGAAACTCTGTAATACCTTTTAATTTCCCCCTGGTTTTTCATCATGTCTTGTCTTCTAGCACTCTTCGTTACATTTTATTGAGGTCTGGTATTATATATGAAAAAAATTAGAGGTAATTATAGGGTCTGAATAAAGAAGTGATCTCCTTCCAGAGAATATTTACATTTGCCTCTGCCAGCAGTAAGGCTGGACTTTGGAGGTTACAGATCACTTTAATTCAAACAGGGATGGAGATGACTCAAAATTGGACTTAATTTCCTTTAAGAATTGATTGATTTCTGATTCATCCTTATTTAAGGGTAATGATTAAAATTGTGAACTTTAACCAGAGTTTTTCTTTGTGCATAAAGTTTGATTTTTGTCCCATTAGGCTCATAGGTGTGTGAAAAGCCCTGCTCAGCTTCCTCGCCTCTTAGCTCCTTCTTCCAATATAAACAGATAACCTTAGGGGAATGGAGCTGTAGTTGCTGGACTTGGCTTTCTGAGCTTCCTCTGTCTCCCAGATCTTGGTTCCCTAATTATTTTTATTTTTCTTAACAACTCTGTGGAGATTTTGAAAAAATATTTTCTCATACTTTCTCAGTTGCTTGCAGCAGGAGGGATGGATGAAATGGAATATGTGGTTTGTCATTGCAATTAATGGACTTTTTCGCTTATTGTTGTATATGCCTGTGAACATATATCATTTAATTTTGGTCCCTATTTCTTTTCATCTATCTTTCATATTTTCTTAATCCCTTTATCTTTCTGCTTTCTGAGTAGTTTCTTCAGGCTCATCCTTTCATTGACTAATTCTTCTGTTTTTTCTGCATGACTACACCATCATTCCATTACATTTTAATCATAAGGTACAAAAGGTTTTATTTCAATAAATTTTATTTGATCTTTTCTCAAAAAAGCCTGTAGATTTTTTCAGTTCTAATATTTTTGATTCTTTTTTTTTTTTTTAATCTTCCAGTCATCTTTAAGTGATTTAGGTGACTTTCTGTGAGATTCCATATTTCTGATGTTCTCTGGAGTTAATCTTATTATTTATCATGTCCCTGCACACTTTCTAAAGGTGAATTAGTTTTTATATGATTCTTAAAACTTAAATTGTAAGTTTATCTACTTGAGGGTTTTAAGTTGCGTTACCTAAACTGAATGGATGGTCCTGCAGTAGGGTATTTTTTCTAGGACCAGGTGTCCCAGAAGTATTATAGCTTCAGACCACCATTAGTGGCACACTACTAAAGTTTCAATGAGAGTATTCCAAAAACCTAACAATAATATTATAATATATACCTGAGCATCAAAACTTAATATGGCACCAGTGGCTGTTTACAAACCCTCAAGGGGTATATATTTTCTATCTTTGAACAGGCAGAGATTGACATATTTTACCTATATTGGAGGTGAATTTCCTTCTAATTATCTCTTTCAATTAAAGATGTTTATTTGTGCATAAGAATCACAAGTACTGGCCTAGGGCTTTATGTAGATTCCCAATGTGCAAGAAAACCAAAGAAATTGTGTGAACCCCAAAACTTACTGAATTATTTCTCAGATTCTTGATTATTTCCTGTCACTGGATTTTCCTTTTTTTGTCTTGGGATCTCTATGCATAAAAGTTATATTTTATCTAGGAATACTAGTTATATGCAGTGTCTATATTGCCAGAAACAAAATATGTTCATTCTTCAGGATGTGGTATTTGTTTAGAATAGAATTGTCATTCTTATTGTATTGACTGCATGCTTCAAATATAGTTAATAACAAATATAATTCTGTTTTTCTTGACAACTCAAATGTTTTCTCCCATTAATCACTTTATTTGGGGTGAAGATCAACTGTGGTCTAATATGAATTCAGTGGTATTCACCTTTATTATTTCTTTCTATGGGATAAAGTTTGGTGATTAATTAAACTTTTATTTGGGGTAGAGACAGAGTCTCATTATATTGCCCAGGCTGGTCTTGAACTCCAAGGGTCAAGTATTCTCCCAAAATGTTGGGATTACAGGTGTGAACCATCATGCTCAACTGATTAATTAAAATTTATCATTAATGAACATCTTTTTTACTTCAGATATATTTTACTCCTATTATAATTTTAACACCACCCTACAGGTTATCAACATTTGAACTTTTGATCAATATTGAATTAAATTTCCACATGAGCAATGACCATATATATTCTGTCAATCATTAAGTATCCTTAAGAGGTCGTTAATGTTCAGTTCCAAACAAGAGCTTTGTAAGGTCTTAAAATTACAAGAGATGACATTTAATTCATTTTAGTGCTCGTATTTCAGAAAATAAACTGGCAGGTTTTATTTCTGTAAATCTGTTAAGACTTCCAGACACTTCACAGTGGTTTGAACATTGTTGCATTCAATGCATAATCAGGTGTTGCTAAGCAGCACACTATAACTTTATTATTTTAGGTAGCATATAAACATATTTTGTTTACTTTAACCCATGAAAGGTGTTTCTCTGATTTTTTCCTCATATTTAGTTTCTCCTTTTTCTCTTTACTCAACAGTATAGTAAAATAGTAAAGTAGAGCCCTCAGTTTTCCCTTATAAAATAGAATAATAATTTTATGTATCCTTCTGTGGGCTTTAAACATTTATTGTACTATATTCAATCTTTCAAATATTTGTTATTTAAAAAGTACTAATAATTGAGCATATTAGTTTGACTTCATATCATGGCTATATTTGGGGTATTTATTATTATTGTAAATGCATTGAAAAGTTGTAATCAAAGCAATATAGTTTTTAACCAAATAAAATTATTTGGCTATGGAAAGTCATGGAATTTTATGTTTTGATTTATTAGCTTTAAGAAAATAACATATTTTCTAGATAGTTAAATTTATTTCAGTGTATGCATTTACAATACCCACTCATAATAGACTTTAGAAGGTAAAAGATACAATATATTCTTAAAATTACCCACATTTATTTTTCATCTGACCTTCCTCTTTTCTTTCACCTAGTAATATATTACCTACTAATAGAGGCTCTGTCCATGGTTTCTCATTTCCATGAAGTACATTTATGCCTTTCTAGTCCTGAGTCATCTCTGCTTTCTCCCATGAATGTATTGGAAAAAAAAAAAAAAGAAGATAATTGTGGAAAATTCCTTTAAAAATACTCTTTTTAAAAATGTATTATATATGTGGTAAATTTGTTTAAAATTTAATCTCAAAGTTAAGAAGTAAACTTTTAATGGAGACTTTAAAATGATGGTATAGAATTTATTTTAAGATAAAGTTATATTCTGATAATTGTGAATCAACTCTTCATTATGGCAGTGTATAATAAAGATGATTTGATTTTTCTATAGAGATAGAATTCTTTAGTGTTCTCTTTATTCCTAATGGTAGTGTAAAGAGAAAATTTCAAGTGATGTTTCTGCTATGACCAATAAACTCATAATATTAAAAGTCAATGACACATGTAATTCTGATAGACATCTTAGTATTTACTCTTGATAGAGAAAAAACCCAATTTTAGGTGCAAATATTAGACAAATTTTAAATGAGATTAAAGTCCCCAATTTTAAATGAAATATGTTCAAACTTTTTATTGATGAAAAACTTACATAGACTGAAGTGCACAATTCATAGGTCGTACTACTTGATGTATGTCCAAAACCTGAACACACCTATGTAACAAGTCCCAAGATCAAAAAGCAAAAATTTACCACTTTTAAAGCTTTCTTCGTGCTTTCTCTCAGTCACTATCCATCATTGTTAGTCAGCACCCTATAAAAGATAACCACTATTTCTATTTCTGACACTAGATAACTTATTTTATTTACTTCCTGGATCTAAATTGTCTTCCTATGGAAACGGTTAGTTTTATAAGTGATAGTTACACTTTTTCTGACAATTAAATGTTATTTCTCATTGAATAGGTCCAAAGTGGTACCCTTCTCGAGTTGGTCTGCAGCTAGAATGTGGTAAGCAGCATTTTTTTACTGATGTGTTTGTTTAATTTAGAATCCCTTTTCTATTTTCAAAAGCTGACATTCACTTACCACTTAGTAAATATATAAATATTAGTATTATTTAATTGATTCTCTCAACAAACTAGAACTCCACTTTTATAAATGAATAATTTAGTCTCAAAGAGCTATTTTTTACATATTCACTGTCTGTGAGTTTTAGAAGCAGATTCCGAAACTAAAATATTTTTGTCTGTGAAGCTTTAACTGGTCACCTTCTCATTCTACTGCCCCACAACATATTTTTAAGGTTAATGCTTATTTTTTTTCATTTTTTTCTTCTTCTTTTTTCTGTTATAAAGCAGAATAAGTGACATAAGGAACAAAACTAATGAATTTGGAGAAGAAACGTTATGCCCACTGTTAAACCTCAAGTTTCTCAGATTTTTAAACTCTATGATCTCAAGAAATTTATCAATAAATGCACTTAAAAATGGCTCCTACCAATAATTACTGCTACTGACACTACATCGACTTTATTTTAAAACTGGAATTTTAAATTTTAATGAAAGCTGTGGGGAGCATGTACTTTTTTCAGGATAGAGTGCTGATACTTAGTAAAAGCCTTTAATAGTAAATCTGTAGGAGGTACCTCTTAAGGAATTTTGATCTCTCAATTTTTCGTAAATGATGAGTTGATTTTTTGTTTCTATTGTTTTTCCTAATATTTAGATTGTCCTCTCTCAGGTATTACATGCACTTAAAGACAAATGATTATTTTGTTGAGTCTCTCAAAACTGTTATGAGTGTTTTCATTGCTGTCTTAAACATTTAATCTTTCTCTGAGACCTGTGTGTTCAAAACAAACAACTATGCAAGATTTCTAGAAGCCACACTTTTTTGATTCTCTCAAATTTATTTTTGCTCAAATGTTCAAGGCAAATTCCCAACTACCTAGAGTTTAAGAAAAAAAAACATTATTGTCTCTTTTTTTTTTTTTTTTTTTTTTTGCTGCCTTCATAGGGCCTAGCACATTTCAGCACATGAATGCCTTTCAATACATGGATGTTGACATATACAAAACGAATTGATTCTTACCCAAAGAAGCCTCAAAAAATGTCACACACAACATTGTCAAATGTAACTTCCATTTGAAGGACACTATAAAAGACTGATAAATTTCTGTTAGTTCAGTGTTCTGGTGAATATGACATATTCCTTTTCTCCCAAATTTATTTACCTAGTTGAGTGTACCAGGGTGGGATATGAGATGAGTAAAATGTAGTTGTCTAAGTGTCCTTAAAAAGGAATGTAATAATGTATTTGAAAAAAGAATCAATTGATTTAGTGTGATATGGTGCAAAGAAATCAAAATCCAAAGCTCACTTGGATTAATTCAGATTTTTACATTTGATTGACTCTCTCATAGTTACTTGCCTACAGGGTCTTCTTTTATGTTGCAGAACTTAAAAAACACTTAAATCATTTTTAAAGTGTTAAGAGTTCATATGTTTATAATGCATATGATGATTGGCACAGGCTAGTTGCTCCATCAGTCTTAGTCATAACTATTAATATTAAGAAGAAAAAAAAGACAATACAAAAAAAGCAAGGTCTTAATATTTATACATGTTTGCTCACAAAATATACTTACTAGAATCATGGATCTTATATGAATATTAGAGACTTCTATAGTTTCCTCACAAAAAAGAAATCTTTAAAACACAAATAAAATAACAAGCATTGTTTTTCATGGGTAAAATTTTAACCAATTCTTCAGCTCTGTGTCTCTGCTGAGCTGTGCTATATTTAGCTGAACTTGGCTAGGTTCATGCATGCAGCTGCAGTGAGCTCCTGGGCTGTTAGGGAATGATTGGTCTACAATAACCACAACTTTCATGAAATTCCCTTTGTTCTATGTGGTCTCTCACCTCTCAGCAAAATAGTTTGGACTTACTCACAAGCTGGGAGTAGAGGTATAAAAATGAGCAGAGATACTAAAGAATTGTTGAAGCCCAGGTTTGGAACTAGTAAATGACCGTTTGTCCCACAAGTCACTAGTTAGCCCATATTCAAGGAGTGGGAATATAAGGACAGCTATCACTGAGAAGAACTACAAGGTCATACTGTATATGGTGTAGATATGGTGAAGAATTTCAGCTATTTTTACAATAAATCTGTCATATAATCTGGTAAGTAAAATGTTTTGTATCTTCCTACTTTTATTCATATGCTTTATAATGTCCTGGAAGGACTGGGTAAAATTTCTAATGTTTAAAATCATTGGATTTCTACATAGAAAATATAGATTTTTTTCCATCACTGTTTCCAAGCAATACATTAAAGCTCCATCCACATCCTTTATACAATAGTCTTGACAAACCACTAGGTTTGTGGTTGGTTGTGTACCCCAGTTCCAGGCCCATACTTGGGAGGGACTATCGAAAGACTGGGTTGTGCTTGTGTTAATTTGGTCAGGAAATTCAGGGCCCTTAAGTGACTGAAGCATGATCTAGAAAAATACGTCATGGGATCTAGTTAGGCATGTCCTGTCCTCTTGGCCCCACACATTCCTCTCCCTTTGATAAAGGACGTAATCATGGAAAGCCAAGGACAATGGTCCCTTTTTCTTGAGTCTGAGTGCTATGATTAATGATACATCTAGATTCCGTCAAGTCGTTTTTTCAAAATCTCATATTGATGGGACTACATTTTAAAAATAGAATGCCAATCTCTGTTCTTTGAAGTTGGCAAGGATGATAGACGGGTAGAAACTAACCCCTTTTCTAAGTGTGCTAATAGACATAATTGGAAATATATTTTCAGCACACTTTCAAGTGATACAAAGCCAGTTGAATTTTTTGTCCATATTAACATTTTCTTGTTCTTATACATAATTGTCAGAATAGTACTGACAATTTTGATATCAAAGTCTTCACTTTGATCCATATTGCAAAAATTTTCTATCACTATGTAACAAATTTGCACAAATTTAGCAGTCTAAAAAATCTATCATTTATTAGATTGAAGCCACATTATGGCTTGATTCTCTGATTAGGATATTATAAGACTGGAATGAGAGTGTTGACTGTACTGAATTCTCATGTGAAGACTCTTGACAAAAAGCCACTTCCATCTTCTTTTGTGTTATTGGAAGAGTTTGTGTTGAAAATGCTTGTTCCCCGGTGCCACAAAGAAATAGCACTCGAACATAAATTTAATTCTTTCCGCAAGGCAATTTTTACTTTCTGCAGAAAGGGTGCTCGTGATAGATGGAATAATGTCAAGAGCACCTTTTTGCATTTTATGTTTGTTTGTTTGTTTGGTCTTTGCAGTTGCATGAGAGAAGTTCCTGTGTTCTTGCTGGCTGTCACTTCCTAGAGACTGCTGTCTTTTCTCAAAGGCCACCTGTACCCTTGACATTGACCTTCTCCATCTTCAAGCCAGCAATAGCACAGTGAATCTTCCCAATGCACTGAATCTCTGAATTCCTCTGTCTCTGATTTCTGCACACAGATTGTAAAAATTCATGAAATAAATCAGGACTACCTAGATAATCTCATTTTTAAAAACCATGCAATATAATTTAATCAACAGAGTAACAGCCTATCATATGTAGAACTTCAGAGATTATACAGGGAACAGAAATCCTGAGAATTATCTAAGAAATCTGCCTACCACACATGTGTTCTTAGGCAAACACAGGACTACGTTCACATTTTCAAAGCAATACAAAATTATCTTTATATGTAATTGCATATATATATGTATTTTATAAATAGTAATCAATTTAAATGAAATTTCTAAAATATAACTATAAAATGGTTTTCAATAAAGCACCCAAAGAACCATATACATTAATATGACCACCTAAATTATCTGGCTGTTAAAAGTGAATTTATCAAATTTCTGCCTTCAAATGTAACATACGATAATTATATATTTTCCTTTCCTTTTAAAAGTCCTTTAATTATAAACGTAAGTAAATATCTTGGATTCTGAAAGATCATCTAATGGTAGATGCAAATTAATATTTTCTTATTTATTTCAAAAATAGAGAGTGGAATGATGCCTTTTAATGATGTAGATAATATAAATCACAAATAACATATGTTAAGTATAACAATAATAATAATAACAATAATAGGATTATATTTGAGAGATTAATTCATTTTGGTGTATGAGCTCTAGTCTACTCACTTTTCTTCCTGCTTGGTATACATTTCTTTAAATAAAACAAAATATATTTATATCTTATCTTATTAAATAATATTTAAGTTTTTTTGAATATTTTCTTATAAATAGTGCTTAAAAATATATTTTTGTACTATCTTCCCATATACAAATTCCAGACTTGTCTGGTGGTTATTTTTAAGAATGCAGTCAATTATGTTTATTTTACATCTATCTTATGAGTAGCTCCTTTCAGTAATCTTTGCTATATCTTTGTCTTACTATGTCTAAAGCCTGTAATACTGGAAACCTTAGTGTGTTTTCATTCCTTTCTTTCCAGCTTCATTCATGTCCCTACAAAGGACATGAACTCATTCCTTTCTTTCCATGCTGAATATACAAACAATTTCATCAAGCCCCATGGTTTTAAATATTAATGACTTTCAAATATCTACACACACTTCTACCCTGCTGCCTATTTGTTGATTCTTTCTTGAATGTCTAAAAGATACCACACACTTAAAATACCTTAAAGACTCTTAATTTTTACCCTCATATCTTGCTTTTGCTGTAGTCTTCTTCATGTCAGTTAATGACCATTACAATACACTTAAGTACTCGGGCCAAAAATCTAACTGTCTTTACCTCACTGAATCCTCTCTTCTCAATCAGTTGATTAAGAAGTTGAATCCAGACTATGTTCAAAATATATTTACAATTGATACATTTTAACATTTTCACCAATACTACCTTAACCCCAACAAAAGATCAGCTCCAGCTGGATTAAGTTTGAATGTCTCCTAAATCACCTCGCTTCCCTTCTTTCTACTTTTCACACAGCATCCAGAATATATTTTAAAAAGATAAATTATGCCATTCTCCCGGTGTTTTGGAGGGACCATTCATCTATCCACCTCTAATTTATACTATTATAAAATCATTTAGAAATAAGTTGAGATGTCGTTGTACTAACACTCAAAATTATACTTTTTGTTGTTTTGCTTTGTTTTCATTTTGAGGCAGGGTCTCACTTTGTCGCCCAGACTGGAGTGCAGTGAAGCGATCACAGTTCACTGCAGCCTTGACCTCCCTGGCTCAAGCAATCCTTCCACCTCAGTCGCCTGAATTGCTGGGTCTACAGGCACACAGCACCAAGGCTGGCTAATTTTTTTCTTTTTTTTTTTTGTAGAGACAGGGTTTTGCCATGTCACCAAGATGGCTGGAACTCCTGGGCTCAAGCGATCTGCTCACCTCAGCTCGACAAAATGTTGAGATTACCGATGGGAGCCTTCACACCCATCCTAAAATTATACTTTAAAAAAATCCTGTATGTTATTTGTTTAGGCCCTAATATGGCATGTTCTCAGAAATAATAAGATAGTAACTAATGGTAGTCTAAATTTTGGTTAGATGATATTGGGAAACCACTGTGCATTTGATAAGTTGCTAGATATATGTTATAAAATGGCATTGTTCACATTTTGTTTTACTTCGAAGATTTATTTTACATTGTAATTTCCATATTAAATTAATTGTTAGCTTTTACTGATTTTACATTAAGAAATTATTTATCATTATGCTAAGAAATTGTATTAAAGTAACATTTTCTTGTTGTTTTTATTTTAGGTGGGCCTTTTTTGAAGGACTACATTACCATTCAAAGTATTGCAGCTTCCTCCATTGTCACACTGTATGCTACAGATCTAGGTCAACAAGTCAGCTGGACCACAGTAAGTGTCAATTTGAAATGTAACATACATGCTTCACATTTTGCTCTAAGTAATTCATTGACAGACTATTTCTATCAAATAAACTCATAGCGAAACAAAATGTACTGAATGGTATTTTAAATTTTCTATTCTTACTATGACCAGTGGCCAAAGGTCTACTCAAGTATTGGAGCAATAGAAAACCACAGTTTTGAAAAACAAAGATGAATTCTGTTTTTGTTGTTGTTGTTGTTGTTGTTGTTTTAAGTGTCAATCCACTCTATGACTGGGAGCTTCAACTTTGTTACCAAAATACCAGGAGTTCGGTCTAGGTCCTGCTGCTAACTGCACAGAAAGCCAATGACAGTGATGACAAGTACTGCCAAGGAAGAAGGCTTAATTTGGATGCTGCAACAGAGGAGCTAGGAACTCAGTCTCAAATCCATCTGCCTGACTAAAACTAGGGATTTATACAGCAGTGAAGAAATGTAACAATGTGTAAGAAAACAGGTACTAGGGAGGGACAAGGAGGCATCTGGTGGGGTGATGTGATGAGTTTCAGTTCTTTGATACTCTTTTGAGAGGGCTGAAGGTTCTTTCCTGAGGAATGAACTTAGGTAGAACAGATACAAGTTTCAAACTTTAACAGTAATAAGGGCCAATTTCTACATTTATCCAAAAAGAACTGTCTATGGGACTATTGGGCTAGTTTCATCTGCTCTGCCTATGCTTTGTTATTTACATGGTATCTCTTTACCTTTTCCTTAAGTAATCTAGGGACATCACAGACTCTTTTGACACTGGAGAGAAGAGTATAGAATATACAGTTAAAAAGGAGATTCTCAGTCAGAGAAACAAACTTTTGGCAACTGACTATGAAAAAGTAAACTTCTTTCAGCCTGTGAAAATGTTCTTTTGGCTGTTTTTGGAGGAAAATAGCAGGTGTTAAAATTATGATATTTGAAAATGGCATTAGAAGAATGAGGACTACATTGAAAATACATGGAGGGTTAAGAGGCAGTGAAAATACTTGCTACTAGTGCACAGTATTGAAACACTCATGGGTAATAGACTACATCAATGGAATAGCTTCAACAGCAAAAGGAAATGTTAATATGATATTTAGTAACAGAGGCAGTGAGAGAATTAATAAATAGTTTTGATATACAAAGAATAGTGAGCTCCTTTTCTTTCAATTACATTAAACTTCTGTTATTTGTATTATTTAAACTATGAAAGTTTTTCTTTGCAGTTACATTCCACTCCATATCTGTGATTACCTTTAATCTTTTTCTATTCAAAATGACTTTTATTTTTGCCACAATTAACAATTGACATTACCATTCATAGTGATTTGCGCTGTTTCTTTACAATTAAACAACCATTTTTGTAAGTATTACGAAGGTATGACAATTTATACATTAATATTTAATTGTTAATTTTAATCTAACACAAATTTAATTTTAAATTTATTAATTAAAATATTGCTACATCTGTTAATATTGTCTAACAATCATTCCTTTTAAGATATATTTTCTGTGTAATTAATTAGTTCTATTTTATGTTTTCACTAAATTGTTGATTTATTTTCCAAAGTATATTGAACTTTTGAGTACTAATTTGTACCACTAAAGATTGAGTTTAGAATCTTATGAATTCTTGTGAAGCATATTTTAATGTTTAGAAAACAACCTATAGAAGATGCATGCATTTGCAAATAAAGTTTTAATACTGTACTTAAATGTAATGTCTACAGACCTTTGCTTAAAGAGATTTTAGAAAAGAGTGTTTGGTCTTCAAAGGTTAAAATATTCACAGGGTCTTTGTCCACATTTATGACAAAAAGGGAACTCTGTTTACAGAAATTGTGTCAGGGTGAGCAGCATTAAACCATTAAATCATTAGAAATTTCAACTTCATCACTTGCATGAGCACTGAGAAGAAAACACACTAAAGTGGAAGTATTTGGCAATTGTACTAGAAAATTATAGTTTATTTGAGAGGAAAATCATTTATGTGACAAAGAGAACTCTGCAAATAGGCTAGATATTTTTAAATCAATCCCATGGATCACACATTCTTTCGCTCCAAATGAGTCAGCTCTGTTAAATGCTAAAAATATACACATTACATTGCAATTACACCCATTTTGTATCCACTAAACTATACAACAAAAGTAATGTTTTACCACATATGACTTTCTTGTACATTGAAAAATATGAAAATCTGTTCCTATAATAAAACATTTCATAGATTTTTGGGGAAATAATCTATTTAATTTAACAAGGTTAAAACTAAGATGTTAATATTTTTCTCCAACCAACAGTGTGTTACAAAATATTGAGAAAAATCCTGCCTCATTTAACTTACTAAAAACTTTAAGATAAAGGATTAATATGATAATACAACAATTCTAATTATATGAATACTGTTGATTAATTCAAGTTTTGCAGTTTTCACCATTTTTGTATTAATTCATGTGTGTATGTGTTAACGTGTAATTCTATGCAATTTATCCCTTGTATAAGGTCATGTATCTAACACCAATGTCAAGATAGAGAATTGCTTCATCCTTAAGAAGGAACTTCTTCATGTTATCTTTGCATACTTACACATACTTTTTCCTATCCTGAAGTAACCACTGACATGTTCTTCATCTCCCTCTTTTTGTCATATGGAAAATGCTCTATAAAATGATTTAAACAATATTTTGAGATTGATGTTTATTTTTCTGTAAGCATAGTGTCCTTGAAATCCATCCTGATTTTTGTTTGTATCGATAATTTGTTCTTTTACATTGGTGAGTAGTATTCAGTTATATGGATGTAATGGGCTTTGTTTAATCATTTACTCTTTGAATTACATTTGGGTGTTTTTTAGTATTTTGCTATTGCAAATAAACCTGCAATGAATATTAGAGGTATTTGTATGAACTTTTAAAAAATTTATCTGGGACACAGTGTTGAGTTTTGAGAATTCTTCATATAATTTAGAAACGACTCCTTGTATATGTGGTTTGGAAATATTTTCTCTTATTCTTTAGCTTGTCTTTTCATCATCTTAACAGAACTTTTCACTGAAAGAATTGTTTTCTATTTTAATGCAGTCTAATTTAGCAAGGTTTTCTTTTAAAGATTATGCTTTTGCTTTCATATATAAGAATCCTTCAACTAGTTCTATGTCCTGGAGTTTCTCTCCTGTGTTTTCTTATGAGTTTAATAGTTTTATGTTTTACACTTTAATGATAGTCTATTTGTATTGTAAATTCCACATTTTAAATCTCTAAATCTAATTTTCTTCAATTTGTCTTATGTGTTCTATAACCCTTTTTTGTCTTTTTTTCTCACCGTATTTTGAATTGTCATGCTCTCTTTTCTATTACCTTTGTGTTATTTTGGTATTTATGTCTTCTATTTTACTAATTCTAGGGGTTATCAAAGATATTACAGAGTGTAACCTTGAGATATTAAATGCTAATATACATTTTTATATTTGATTTTACTAATGTAAAAATATTTCATAAATATTGAATATAAAGTTGAATGACTTTATATTTGAGCTCCTCCTGACTCATTTTTCATGGTTTTGTTATAATATAATTTTCTATATACGTTATATGCAAAAACATTACTAAAATTTTATCTAACAAATACCTTATCCTTTAGACTTATCCTTTTTGCTGCAATTTAGTTATTTCTTCTAATGTTGAGCTTACATCTGGTATCCTTCTCCCTGAAAAACATCTTTAGTGTTTTATTGTAGTTCTGTCATTGATGAATTATCTCCATTCTTGTTTATCTTAACATGTCCTTATTAACTTTTATCGTTAAAGAACATTTTTACATAAAAATAAGTTTACGTTGGCAGTTCTCTTTTCTTAACTTTACAATATTTTATTGTTTTAATTTCTGAATTCCATTGTTTCTGTTGAAAAGTCAGCTTTACTCCTTTGAAAGTAATGTGTCTTTTCTAAACAATTCTTGTTTGGTTTTGTTATCAGTAATTTGACTATGATATACACAATTATAATTATATTTTTATTTATCTTGCTTTAGTTTTATCTAAGCTGGTGGTTTAGTGTATTCATGCGCACAAACATACATGCATATAATTTGAAAAATTAGCTACCATTATCTATTCAAGTGTTGCTTGTCCATTATTCTCTTTAAATTCTTCTTTTAAATTTTATATTACATTTCATTATTTTTCTTTTCAAAGATTTTACATATCTGAAAATTTCAACCTTATCTTTCATTTATTTTAACACATAAAAGATAGTTTTTGTTAAAGTTTGTGTCTGATATTCCTGTCGTGCGCATCTTCAATATTTTTATTTTTGCTATTTCTCTTGGTTTTGCTCACAGTCTGTTTAGTGTTTGTATACCTGCATATTTCTAAATGCAGAAAATTTATGTGAAAAATTTTAATGATAACTGACATCTAGGTGATTTTTATCTTCTTTCAAAGATAAGTTAACATCTTCCAAATGAATGAATTGCATTATTGGATCCAAGTCATTTTGATCCAATCAATAATTGAAATGATTTTAGGGTGAGTTTTAGAATCTGTGGAGACAGTTTTATGAGGCCACCTTCATCCTCTGGAGACGATGAACAACTGTTTTTGTTTTTTCATTCCCAGGCCCCATCAAAAATCTGTTCTTCTTATCAGGCTTATATGAGGCTTCATATGCAAGGTTCAATCTCCTCTCTGGATCCCCCATTTCAAAATTATTGACCTTCTAATTCCTCAATGATATTAAATCTCTGAAGACTGAAAAAAACTTTTTAAAATATTTTGATCAGTTTTTCTCACTACACTCATTAGTATTTTGTGTTTGATTTATCTAGAATAGAAATCTCCATTATATGTTATTTATTTGACAAACCACAAAAAAACACTATCTTTATCTGGCATGATACTAATTTCAACAGTATTCCTTAAGTACAAAGTGTTATTGCTGTATTACAACTGATAAATGCTTCCAAAACTTTATGTAACACCCTTATCTTCAGGAGATTAAGGTTAAAACTACTTTATTTTGTTTTCAACAATTCTAAAATATACATTTTTTTAACTGCTGATAGCAATTTTAGAAAAGGAGATAGTAAATCCAAAAATGCCCTAATAATGATAGTACTATTTTTTTTCAAGATAAAATGAAATACATTAAGCACAATTTAAGCACATGGACTCTAACCAATTCACAATTGCAGCTTCATTTTTTTTTTAAGCAGAATATTACCTTTTTCAATTTATACATATATCACATTGAAGATTCCACTGAGGTTTCAAAGACTCCCAGTTTCCTTGCTTGCGTAGTACAAATAATGAATTTTGTATTCAAAACAAAAGATTAGTTTAACACAGTTAACTTTTTGAAAGAGAAAATATAAACAGGATTTGATAACGGAAATAAATTGAAATTTCAATATAGTGTTTATCTTCAAAATAAGAAAAAGGTGTATCTGCCTCTTTAGAATATAGAATCTTCAGTAGAATTTTGTATTATGGGGGGGTTTCTAGTCTTTGTAAGTTCTTGTGATGTACATGGTCTGTATATGCCTGCTTATCTGTTTAGTTGATTGTATTTGGTTTTGATTTTGTTTTACTTCCCCTTATTTAGTAGAAAAGACCAGTTCCATTTTCAGAAGACCATATTAATATTTGTCTGCTAGCCCTCGTTTTCCTCATCTGGAACTATTTTCTGATTACTTTCTAAGATTAATAAATCATCTTTTCTCCTTTCTTCTATTTGCACTGAAATATTTTTTTAATGCATTGTCTAAAATTTACTTATCATTCTCTAGTGCTTTCAGGACATATTATTCATAACTCTCCATATTCTAGCAGAAAAATATTCTTTATAAAATATTAATTCTTCTAAAACATATTTTATATACTAGTAGGCTCTCCTGAATTATTTTTGAGGGATGATTGAGATAAGATTATGGTTTAATTTCCTCTCATCCAAAGAAACTTCAGATCTGTGTTAGCATTTTTATTAAGTTAATAAAGAGTGATACTTGGTCCATGTTAACTATTGTTCACAACATTTTATATTCCTGATGTATTCTTAGAGAATTTGCTCAAATTTGACTTCACTAGATCAGTTGCTGTTGAAATAATTATTTTATAATTTTTATTGTACTAAAATAATTACCCTCTTCATTATTCCAGAGTTTTGGCATTCTGTCATTACACATTCACAAGTGGCAAACATTTTCTTTATATCTGAATAATGAGGCATTTTGTAAGCCATAAATTACTACAGTCTCTCCTATCAGATTGCTTTTTATAATGAATTGATCAGAAGTTGCATTGTTTTTACTTCTCTCACACAAATCTTTCTTGGCACATGAGAAAATATATATATTTCTAAAAGGCAGAATTGTAACTGAAGAAACCTCCACGTGTAAATTATTATTTATGTATTTGTGAGTAATTACATATATATATATAACCTTTAAATAATTACACACATATATGTATGTGAATATATATGAAACCATGCATATATATTATTCATTCCAACAATCTTCTCAACAGAGATGTGAACATGATTTCTAACCAATGTGCACAGCTAACTGCATTTTTGAGTAAAGGTGCAGAATTAAATTTTTTCTTAAAAAAGTGGTAGCAGATGAAGACAAAATAGTTAATGGCAGTCAACTTTATTATTGTTAAGTTGTATTTTTTTTTCCTCTTTGAACACTCCAAAGTAAATTACTTTCCCTACTCTGTCTAAATACTTCAGAGGAAATTTAACATGATTTTAACACTAAAAAATCAAACATTTACCAAATTTAGACCAGTTAGCCAATTAATATTTTGCAATCACTTGGTCTTGTTTTCAATTACCTTTCCAAATATTGTTAGTGTCTCTCTATAGTACAAATACGGTTACCCCCACTCAGCTCAAGCACTCAAAAGTTAAATCTTTTAACCACACAACTAGACTAATTAGAATTAAAGTATAAAATTGCTAATAGAGAAGACTGAATTGTTTCCATTCAAAGTAGAGTCAAATCAATGAATTCAAGCTGACAGGCCCATGGAGGGTAAGGTAGTGAAGAAAAGAAAGAGAAAAAGAAAAAAGATACTCTAGCTCATTCAATTTATTGACAGGGACAGTTTATACAGAAGATTAAGTGTGTATTGGACTGGGAAACACACAGAAAAATACATTAATAATGGTTTGTTTATTAAAATAAAATCTCCTTTTTACTATAACTGAAGAAATAAACCAGTTTATTAGGTTCAATATTTATTTTTATTCTAAATTAACTATACCTGTATTAGGCTTTCTCCCCGTGGTTCTTCCAAGGAAGTCGTTATTTGCAATATCACTAATCTAGTTAAAAAATAATTCACCTATTTCACCAATTTATGCAATAGGCCAATACTCATAGACACAAATGAACCTTAAAAACATCTATTTTTATTGTTTAATCTAAATCATGTTTTATCTTCAGGTATTTTTGGCTGAATACACAGGACCTCTGCTAATATACCTCCTCTTTTATTTGAGGATTCCATGTATATATGATGGAAAAGAGAGTGCTAGAAGATTACGCCACCCGGTGGTACAGTAAGTCACACACACACACACACACACACACACACACACACACCCATATAACATACACGTTAAGGAGGGGATGAACTAGTAAGCAGGTAAAATATTAGTAAAGATTGTTAGTAAATGCGATTAAAGTGGATACAATTTTATGGAAATATATTTTAGATAACCACAAATAGTGTATGTACAGCAGATTCCAGATTTGTAAACTAGAAACTATTAGATATACCTTTAAATAGAGGTACTTTATGTTAATAATGATCACAGCTGTCAAGAGAAATTGGGAAATTCAGAAATATAATTAAAAGAAGTTTACAATTATAAAATCGAGACACCATGTATAGGATATAAAATATAAATGCTTCCCTAAAAATACATTTATTTATTTGGCAATGTTGCATAGGAAATAAATAATGACCTAACTAATGGACAGGAAGAAAAAAGTTTACACGTTACTTTTTATTTATTTTATTTTATTTTATTTTATTAGTAGTATTATTTTTTGAGACGGAGTTTCGCTCTGTCACCCAGGCTGGAGTGCAGTGGCGTGATCTCGGCTTACTGCAAGCACAAGCTCCGCCTCCCGCGTTCACGCCATTCTCCTACCTCAGCCTCCTGAGTAGCTAGGACTAGAGGCGCTCACCACTACACCCAGCTATTTTTTTCTTTTTCTTTCTTTTTCTTTCTTTCTTTCTTTTTATTTTTTATTTTTTATTTTTAGTAGAAACGGGGTTTCACCGTGTTAGCCAGGGTTGTATCGATCTCCAGACCTGACCTCGTGATCCGTCCGCCTCGGCCTCCCAAAGTGCTGGGATTACAGGCATGAGCCACCACACCCGGCCACAAGTTACTTTTTATAAGTCAAAATCCAAAATTAAATACCATTTTGAAGTATGACCAAAAAAGAGTAAGGCAATAAACAAAGTATTCTATATAATTGTGGTGTTTAGCATATTGTGAAAATCTCTCTCTCTATAAGAAATAGATGCCAAATTAAACCAAAAGAGAATATTTATTCAGGATGCCATAGTGGGATGTGGGAAGGGAAATTTGTTGGGAAAAAAAAAAAAAAGACCTGAACAAATTTTACGCATTAAATAAACTCCAAGTGAATTAAGAAGCAAATTGTAAGTATTTAGGTCATATGGATGCTAAAAGAGAACTAATTTCATCCTAACTTTCTTACTTCAAATCAAGTTTTGCCTACCTTTAATTACAGTCCTTCAGCCACACGGACCTCCTTTCTTGTCCTGATTGGCTACTGTGTTAGTTTGTTCTCATGTTGCTATGACGAAATACCCAAGACTGAGTAATTTATAAAGAAAAAAAAAAGATTTAATTGACTCACAGTTCCGCAAGGCTGGGGAGGCCTCAATAAACTTACAGTTATGGCGAAAGGTACCTCTTCACATTTTCTTAAGTGAAAGGAATGACCAATTATTTCTAAAAGAGACCATGTATAGGATGGTCTCTTAGTATCATTCTCAAAGGAATTGACTCATATTTGCCATTTATTATTATTATTTTTTTGAGACAGGATCTTGCTCTGTAGCCCAGGCTAGAGTGTAGTGGTTCAATTATGGCTCACTTCAGCCTCACTCTTCAGGGTTGAAGCCATCTTCCCACCTCAGCCCCCCAAGTAACTGAGACTATAAGTGTACACTGTCACAACCAGCTAATGTTTTTTTAAAAAAAAAAGTTTTACAGATGAAGTCTCATTATGTTGCCCAGCCTGTTCTTGAGCTCCTGGGCTCAAGGGATCCTCCAGATTCAGTCTCCCAAAGTGCTGGGATTATAGGCATTCACCACTGCACCAGCCTTACTATTCTTAAACACAAATACAGCATGCTTGGTAGTATCTCAGTGATGAATGTATTTGTGCCACATTGTTCCCAAATAACAAATATGCAAAGTTTATATAAAGTAATTCCACAGCTGATACACAAACTACTTTTGAAATTTAGGTATCTAGCAGGGATTTAGAAAATAACCACAGGGCTTTTGTTACCTAATATTCAGGATGATGTTGTTTTAAGATGAATTCTTAAATGCCACGTCCAGTTGAAACACATTAAAATGTTGTCTCCAAAATTGCTTTGAATCATATTATAATGTCAAAATAATTTTCTGCTAAGTTCAGATAGAAGACAGATTTCTGTATGTGACCCAACCACCACAAAGTTCTTCAGATCTCTTAGAAACCTCCACACACTGGGACTAAAGGCATATCTCCTGTAGGAACTGTATCCGCATCAAGTATCTTATGAATCTGTTACCTGAACATTTCCTTGTCTTATTCAACAGAAACCAGAAACCTGGTGTAGTGCCATGCCTCCTTTGCTGTTTGTAAAGTTGAAGCTGTGCTTTTCTGTGCTGTGCCCTCATATCCTGAACCTTACTTGATTTAAAATAAATAAGATGTTATCAATATTTTGGTTCGGAAAAAGAATCGGATTCACACCTATTTATGGTTTTACAGTTAATTTAGCAATCAACAGAAAATAATCAGTGTTTGGAAGTTAAACATAATTAAATAGAATAATAATATTTTGAAAGAAAATCAAACTTGGTGCATCACCATGCAGTGATGTGCATGGTGGCATATATATAAACTAAGTTTCTAGCTGTACATTCTATGGGGTTTCTATGCTCTCATGGTATAATGTGAAATAAGTGAATGTACGAACTTAGACAGATCATAGCTTGAACCAAAATTTCTCACTTAGGGCTCTGCTACATTGCTGCTTTTTTATAAAACAAAACAAAATTACTATTCAAGGGTTTTTGTAACTACTTCTACAAAAGAACAATAAAATGAGTAGAGATAACAATTTCCTTACCTACTCTGTGTACTCGTACTCACAAGGCAGCTTCTTGTATCTGGACTTTTGCTTTTGTTTGTCTGACTTTCTAGAAAGCTCTTCCCCCAGATATTCACATTGCTTGTTCTCTCACCTTTTTCAGAATTTCTCTACCATTATACTTATAGGTATCACCACCACATAAAACATTTATGTTACATAATAGGTGAAAACTTTTGTTTTTATCAATTTATGAATAATGATAAATTTGATGCTGACTTAACCAAGTTAGTGTTTATTATTTGTTTTTCCTAAATTCCCCCTACTCATACCAGAAATCATTTCCACTAAAATCAACTCCCAAATTTATAAATAAACTCAATGTCTGATTGTATTATTATATAGAGTAAATGATATGCTGATTTTTATGCTCAACCTTTACTGGTTAAAGTATGTCATCAGTTGGATGTGGTGTCTCATGCCTGTAATCCCAGCCTGTTGGGAGCCCCAGGCATGTTGATTACTTGAGCCCAGGAGTTTGAGACTAGCCTGGTCAACAAGGTTTAACCCGTTTCTACAAAAAAATACAAAAAAAATTAGCCAAGCATGGTGGCATGGGCCTATAGTCTAGTTACTCAGGAAGCTGAGGTGGGAGGATTGCTGGAGCCTGAGAGTTTAAGCCATGATCATGCCACTGCACTGCAGCCTGAACAACATAGCAAGATCCTGTCTCTAAAAACAAAAACAAACAACACACAAAAAGTATGTCATCTTTGCTCCGTATTGATTTCTTTAACAGCAACCAAAGTTTTGAGATTTCACATTTTTATGTATAACAAAATAGGTACAAATTTTAATGAAAAATACACTCTTTATAATATATTCAGAAAAATACACCGCTGTAAATCAATCACATTTTACATTTACTTTTAAGATAATAATTATATAAAAATGATAAGAAGAAGTGGTAACTTAGAGTACAACACAAACAAACACACGAAGAGACAAAATATTACAATATTAGGTAGGAAAAAACAAAACAAAAACAAAGCACAAAGCTACATTATTACTGCACAGAAAATGCAATTTAAACTTTCTCAATCTTAGTGCTTGCTAAAGGACAACCAAACAATTAAAAAGTTATTCTGAATATTATAAAATGTCAAATGCATTCCAAGTAGGCTTTGGATATTTTTAAAACTTGTAAATTGTCTGTGTCAGTCGAGGCAGTTTGATATGAACATATTTGCAATTATTATATTTATACCTACTCCGGGGACAGGTGTGAGCATAACAGTTTATGACTGGTATTATAAAATATTTCTAGTGTCATCAGAAGTAAATTTATGGAGACTCTTATAACAGCTATTTTTATTGCTAAATTTTGAAAATTTTGAAAATAAAATATTAAAGCAAGCATTTGTGTTTTAGCTACCAGAAACAATGTTTCCTAATAGCTAGAATATTAAACTAAAAAATATTTAAAATGTACCATGCATGAGACAAGCCAGAATTTCAAAAGGATTTTCATGATTATGTTTTATTTTTTTTTCCAGCTTGGCTTGTTTCTGTCATTGTATACACTACATCCGATACCTTTTGGAAACCTTATTTGTTCACAAAGTTTCTGCAGGACACACACCTTTGAAAAATTTGATAACGGTGAGGATGCTTTGTATTTTTAATAATGATTGAGACATTTTATATGTTGGAAACTTTGCAAAATATTTAATCATTGTTTCCCTCCAAAACTTAGATTTTCATGTTTAATTGTATAAGCATGTCTTAAACATTCCTTTCCTAAAGTGTCATTTTTTTCATGATATATTTAATTCAAATTAAACACTAAAGAAAGATTTGTCATTACCTCATATTACAAGATAAACTAGATACTCCTAGGAATCTTTTAATTTTGGTAATACTAAGCATTGAATTCAGATTCTTTGAGTGCCACTCGAAGTGAAGAATATCATATATGAATGTTCCTACAAATATACATCTGTGTGGGATGAAAATGGTGATACTATATTCCATTATTGTGGCAGTTGTCAATATGATGCTAGTGTCTTTGCTCTTCTAGAAATTGTGAATGCAACTGTTATCAACTATCAAATAACTACCAAAACATGAGAAAAAATGTAAAATACGGACATGGAAAAGTACATTAGGCAACATGTTGAAACTCAATTTTCAATTTAAGTTAAATTTTGTTTTTCAATTTAAAATCTATTTTCAGAAAAAAGTTTGTCTGTACAAAAAAACTTCCTGGTTTTTGTCAAATATCTGCTTTGTAATATTACAACAGAAGAGCCATTCTATTGTTATCATTGCAATAAAGCAGTAAACTCTGAAATTCTGAGACCTCAGAAGTCATTTAGGCCTGCTTTTTTTTTTTTTTTTATAGAAAATGGTACAATTAATCAAATCAGTTCAAGATCACCATTATAGACTACGACTCCTAAATCCGAGTCATTTCCGTTCCAGTCAATCAACATGTGTTACTATCAATTATCAAATAATTTATTTTATAAATGAACTAATTGTTGGAAAAATTATAGTGTATCTTATGCAACTGATAATTTATGTTTTATTTTTAGTAATTCATTTATATTTACTACTTGCTAGACAAAATAATTCTCATCAAATTTTTCTAAAATATTCTGTTAACTTGACATATATCACAAATATCCATTAATATTAGTACAAGTGGAGCAAAGAAATGCATTTTCTTAGTGATATCAAAATAGTATTTGTAAAATGCTACTATTACCATCTCCTTATGCCTTAGTTTAGTGAGGTCCAAGTTCTTGTCTCACAACCAAGGAGAATAAGACACATGGTCACCAGACAGTGGTTAGGGCAGAGTGGGATTTATTAAACAACAGAAAAGCTCTCAGCAGCTAAAGGGTACCTGAAGAGGGTTGCCAGAAATGGGGCTGAATTCTGGGTCTTTTATGTGGCAAAGACAAGGAAGTCTTCTGTGGCTTACACCCTAAGGGGAGGGTTAAATTTCCCCCTGGGGTTATTGCATCGGCACATGCCTGGGGTTGGCCATAGATACTCCATCTTGGCTATTACCCATGAGTGCCAAACGAAAACCTGCAGAGGGGGGAAGGTTAAGCCACAATGCTAATGGCACTATGAGTTCAGGATCAGGATCAATTTAGTATGCATCTTGGTTCTTGTCTGCACCTGCACGGGTGCACCTGTGCTGGAGAGTTTCTTCTGAGTAAGCATCTTGGTATAGGGGGAAGTTCTCAACCACATTTCCTCCTGCCAGCTACATAACATGGGTGGTACAGGTGTGTTCTTGTAGGCATTGTCCCTCTTGCAAGACCCTCCATCTCTATCTGCCAAATCAGCCCCTATCTACCTCCTCTCTCATTCCCCACTCTGGAGTGTTAACCCTAACTACCATTAGGAGGAACAGGGAGATAACTGCTCTGGCTTTTTCAGGCTGTGAGAGGGTGTAGTTCCAGAAAGGCAGAGGGATTCTCATAAGGTCCTAATTCTAGTCTTTGGTAAGCCCTCAAGTATGCACATTTGAAAGTGCTTATTCCTCCATTCTCCCGTATTATCATTAGGATCCTATTTAGGGTCCTTCAATGATATTGCTGTCTTTCCAACTGGTTAAGGCCCTCTCCTGTCTCTGATATTATATGAGTACGAAGCTCATATTCAAATTTCTTTACTGCTTGCAAGGCTGTCTGTTTCTCAGCAGTCATCAGAGTTTGATTTAAGAGTAGCATATCGTTCTTTTAGAACAGTTTAAATACCTGGGTTAAATTCTGGAAGGCCTCTATAAATGAGTGATGTTGGGACTTGCCCAGAGTGAACATTAGAGTCTGAGGGTAAAAGGAGTCCCAATGATCCAGGTTGCTATTAAGGGGAGTGCAGGTTGACGATGGATTGTTACACATATGGAAAGAGAGGGGAGAAAAGGCATTCCTTAGTCTGTCTTCCACTTTTAGGGTGAACTTGGAGTGGGACAGAGAGAGAAAAGGCATCTCCTTTCTCCTCTCCTCCTCCTTGTATCCTCTGGGTTCCAGCAACCTATATAGGCATCACCTGTGGATGCAAGTGTGACCTCCAACAACAGACCATGAGGGCTGGAAGGTAGGAATAGTCACACTTACCTATGCTGCACCCTAGCTCTCCAGTGTTGACTACCTTTGGGGTCCCTCAGATCTATTTCTTCTTTTGGGCTTCAGACCCAAAGCTTCCCACTTAAAACTTGGAAAATACATTGAAGTAATTGAATTGGGGCAAGAAACATTACTGGAGGTGGGTGTCCTTAAATCTTTAAGGAGCATCCGTTGACTGATAGGTAATGGACAGAGCCAGATCATAGCATTCAAGGAAATGAAAGTGACCGACCTCCAAAACTAGTCCCTTCTTCCTGCCCAGGGGTTGTTATTCTTGGAGTAAGAATAGGTGTCTTTGAAAATGTAGGGGTTGGCTTGGCTAATTCTGTGTGCTAGTAGCCAGGGAATTAGGGCTCCCCTGGATCCACAGAAACAAATCCTTGCCTTATCAGGCACCTTGACAAAGTTTGGAATGTTAGCCTGTAACTTTATGTCCAAATCCTTTTCATACAGAGGTTTGAAAGAGAGGAGTTTGGGGCTTGGTGTGCATCCCTCAAATAAGCCTCCTAGAATAAGAAAATTGATTTCTCGCATAGTGTACACTTCTGTGCTTACTGAGCATTGCTGACATCTCTCATGGAAAAAAAGCAGCAGCCTAAATGGAGAGGAAAATAGTCACTCAGGGAGAAATAGCCTCCTGTACAGTGCCAGTCGGTCTCCTTGACAGGAGAAAGGAAACTCTCTAAATCTTCATATATCCCTTGTTCTAAGAACAGGTAAAAGTGACGTTGTTCTGGGTTACACTTCTGATGAGTAAGCAAGCTACTCAATTTTCCCAATAATATTATCTCTCCTGCTTGCAAAAAACATACATAACATTGAATATAAAGAAGGGAGAACAACCATCATAGTCTTAAAAGAAAGAAAATGTGATAGAAAATACTGGAAATCTTTATCCAACACCATAATGGGCTGTCAGGGACTGGAACTAGTCCAAGGACCTTTGCGTAACACCAAAATGTAGCTTCAGTCAGATACCTTCAGTTGCCCCAGGACATCCTTCTAAGTCCCACACAACAGCTAGAGCTTCATGAAAGGAAACTGGATTAGAACAGAATGAACATTGCCAAAACCCATGGATGAAGAAGTTTTGACAAAGTCCTCATCAGTAAGCTTGTCCTCTGAGTCTTGTAGGAGCAACAGCCATGCTGTTCACTCTTAACTAGCTGACAGAGGTCCAGTGCTTTGTTTGGTTTCATATAATAAAGAGAACCAAGAGCTCTTGGAAATGGAAGTAAAGAAGTCTTCTCTTATTCACCCTGCCCATGATCCCGAGCAATCCCACAAAATCTTGCTGTCTCCTTATTCCTTAGTTTAGTGAGGTCCGAGTTCTTGTCCCATGACTAGGAAGAATAAGGAACATGGACACCGGAGAGTGCATAAGGCAGAGTAGCATTTATTAAGCAATAGAAATGCTCTCAGCAGCAACAGGGGACCAGAATAGGGTTGTAAGAAATGGGGCTGAGTCCTCAGTCTTTTATGTGGCAAAGGCAAGGAAGTCTTTTGTGGGGTCCACCCTAAGGGGAGGGGTAAAATTCCCCCCAGGAGTGTTGCATCTGTGCATGCCTGCATGCCTAGGGTTGGCTATAGCTACTCCATCTTGGTTATTACTCATGAGTGCCTAAGAGAAACCCATGGAGTGGGGAGGGTTAAAGCACAATGCTAATAGCATTATAATGTGGTCAGGATCATTTTAGGACACCCCCGGTCCTTGTCTGTGCCTCTGTGGGTGGATGGAAAGTCCCTTCTGAGCAAACATCTTGGTATAACAGGAACTTCTTGACCATATTTTCTCCTGCTAACTGCATAACAGGGGCAGTGCAGGCACACAGTCCACAGGTGTTGGCCCTCTCCTGAGACCCTCCCTCTCTGCCTGCCAAACTATCCCCTACCTGGCTTCTCTCTCACTATTATATTGTGCAAAGAAATATTCCATTTATTTAGCTTAGACAATTTGTACCATTTTATGTATAAATGCTGCAGTGTCTAATATAAATGTATGGGGTGGTTTCAAATTGTGACATGCATATAATATAAATGTTTATGTCACAATTGAAATACATATTACATATTTTTCCTAACTTTTATATTGTTTTGTTTTGCTTGCAGAGTTGTGCCTTTTACTGGGGATTTACTTCTTGGATTGCCTACTACATTAATCATCCACTGTATACACCACCATGTATGTAGGGTTTCTTCTTAACTAACCCTGTACTAAAGGACCAACCTAAAAACTCTATTCTAAATGACATACATAATATGAAGAGCAGAGCATAAAGGAATAAGTAAAAAATGAAACAATTTGTTTTAAAATTGCTTTCATATTTCTTTAAATGTTTATGTAGGCCTAAAAGACCAATTTGACCCATATATTTTTATTTATTTTGTTTCTACATGAACCACCAAAAACATTAGTAGGTTGTAAACCTCTAAAAAAACAGCTAATAAAATAAAAAAGCAACAATTAAAAAGAAAATTATTATATAATTATACAATCATATGCTAATCAGCTATCAGGTATTTTAAAAGTAAATGATAAACATTTAATTATTCTTTTAAATATAATTCAACCAAAAATAGGGGACAATTTTTCTGTTACATAATAGTTTCTGTTTATGATTTAATTTACTAAAGTATCTTGGCTCTTGACTCAGATGAACAATTTGGTTGAATGTACACTGGATGAAACCTAATTCTTTGGTTCTTAATCTTCAAGAAAAAAGGTTGCCCTCATCAAGGAATTTCATTTCTTCCTTCAATGTGGACTTTTCTCTCCTCAGTTTTTACTGTAGCACATAAGGCACAAAATGTAAAACTCAATAATTAAATGGTTTCTCATTTATTTGACAATTATTTTTGCAGGCTATTTCTGGTGTTTACAAAGTTTAAAATAAATGGAAATAAATGGTATAATCAAACTTTATTTTTAATTTTAGAAAATCACTTAAACTTCCTTAATTTCTTGGCTGAAGTTGTAATATAGAGTTACAATGTTCAGGGCCTTCACTATAATCAACAAATCTAGTTCAGTCTGGAAAGTGAAGTCATTGATTTCAGTGATTAAAACTTCAGCTGGTCTTAATAGTAACAATTAACTCTGAATATTGAAAGTGAAAATTTCCTGTATCTTCTAATTTTTCAAATATTTTATAAGATGTACTTATTATCTTTATAACCTTAACACATAGATGTATTGCTCCAGACTATGTTAATAAGATATGCCTCTGCAAAATTCTTCATTTCCATATTGGGTACAAAATAATAATAGTAATTAATTTTGTTAATATATGTAAAACATTTATTGAAAACTGAATGTTAATAACTGTAAATTTGCTATATATTTTTAATTTAAAACATTATTTTGTGGCTTTAATATTCCCTATTGAAGGCTAGAAAAATGATGCCATGAAAAGATAATTTCACTATGCTCAAGATCTTTAAATGCATAAGATATAAGTAGGACTCAAATTCTGTGAAAATGTATTATAGCATTTTAATACTGATGACAAGTGGAAAATGAATATCTTGCCTAGGAAGTCCACACTTAACATGGTTGTAATATACATGAGCTATAGGCATTATGCTTTAGTTAAATCATGTTAAATAAAAATATGACTTCTAAAACAGTATATGACAGAATAAGTTGCTTTTTCCTTTAACAGAGAAACTATAAATTAACTTTTGTTAAGGCTTCCTATTAGGTAAAATGCTAAGCAGTTGGCACATTTTCTCTCATTGAATCCACATGAAAATTATACTGTTTGTATCCCAACTTTACAGATGAATAGCTAAACTTCAGAAAATATAGGCAGATTTTCCAAATTTACTCAGCAAATAAGTGGAAAAGAATCTATAACGTAGCTACAGATAGCAGTAAACTGTGCAAGAGGTTAGCCAATCCACAGTCAGTCAGACACATAAATTCTGCATAGACATTATCATGGAGATCCCCTTCACAAAAATAAGCATATCACCTTTATCTTGAGTTTTGACCCAGATAGTAGAGCCTCCTATTTCTTAAAGTGTTAGTTATATGGGCTTAGGATACCTAATACACATTTTTGACAAATAACAGGACCCAGAGACTCCCTCTAATTTGTTCCATGCTTATGCCATTCATTGTTTCTTTTTTGTAAAATTTCACCCTTTTCTATATTTGTGGGGCAAAAGACCTTCCCTTTCATTTCTTATTAGTTTCTAAGACTTTGATAGAATATTTTCCCTTTTCAACACTTTGATTATAATTAATAGATTTATTTTACTTTTACAAATTGATTATATATTACATCATAAAAATTCAATTCTGTACTCACAAAGTAGAAATAGCACAAACAACATTATCTTTAGATGAGTTAAAATAAACCTTAAAAATATAATATAAGCACACGAAACATTTTAAAACAAAATGAGGTGATATTTAAAAGCACTTCCTACATTATTTTAACAGTAAAAGATATAATAATAATTATAGAGCAACTATGACAAGGTAACAAAAAAGAAAATAGTACATATTAAAGCTATTTTCAGCAAAGCACTTATAATCTTAATAAATAATCATATTTAAGGAAGATGAAATGAAACAATTCACATAAATCAGTAATTCCTTTAATTTTTGTTTTAATATATCTTACTTTGCTGCATTAAATCCATCTGCTTAAGGTTGCAAAACAGAAAATTGATCCAATTTTTATGTTGTTCCTATTGAAAATTTTCATTAAATTATGCATGCTTACAACATAGTTTCCCTCATTTTACCCTCAAAATTAGAAAAAGAAAAGATATTGGATTTTTTGATTTTACCTGTTTAATCTTTAATCACATGTTCTTTATTTTCACTTTATATAAGATATGTCCCTTCAGCATACATAATGAAGTCTTTAATTTCGGATATTGTTTCTTACATTATGGCCATGATTATTATTTTTTCTGGTTTTCTGTTGTTTTTGTTGTCATAGTTGACACTACTGTTCTTTGTGCTCTATGCCAACCGGTCTTTTTCCAATTTCTTTCTTAATTCTCCTTGGTAACAGTGTTTGACTTTTATCACAATTATCACCACAATCTATTCTCATCAAATTTGGCCTCATAAAGTTAATAGCATCTGTACATTAATACATAAAAGCTAACTTAATTGAAAAACATGTTGTATGCATATTTCCAACACATATTCTACTAGGAAATTTATTTTCCAACTTCTTGAATAATATTTAAATACAAATAAATGAAATACGTTATCAAAATTGTAAAATTGCCCAATGGCAGGAATATTTTAATATCCCCATATCAGAATGTATAGGTTCAAAAATCTTAATATATAAATGTCTACTCTCAACATAATCAAAGAATAATGGCCTATTAGGTTATTTTTACCTATCTGAATGTGAAACATTATAGAAATTATAAAATATTATTAAATAATAAGTGTTATAATGACTATTGTAAAGAGAAAGTTTATTTCTTTTTACACTACCTATAACTTTTTTTGGAAATAAATATGAAAAATATTAGACTCTTCACTTGATACTTTTTATTATCACATCATTTTTCATTTTCATTTAAAAATAAGAATAAGGCGTATGTTTACTGTCCTCTGACTAATGTGCTCTGAACTCTCTCTTCTTTATATTAATGCCTATCCATTTTTATAAATCAAAGCTTAATTGTGTACTTAGAAGAATCCTCCGTGATCTCCCATATTACAAAATATCCTTTTTGGTTATTTTATTAAATACTACATAGGTCTGTATAGTAGCACTTATCGATCTTGCAAACTTCCATTTGTTATCATGTGATTAGTACTTTTCCAGGTCAGAATATAAGTTCTATTAAGATTGCCTTCATCTTTTCCTGTAGTTTATCACAAGCACACAGTTCAGTGCCGGTCATGCGAATTCTTGATAACTATAGTTGAATGAGTAAAATTACATTGAATAGTAGGTATAAATAAAATAATTATGGCTGATGCAGATGCATATCAACCAATTGTGATTTGTCAAGAGCAGAATGTTTAATTATATGGCAAAAGTGGTGTAACATTATGTTAAGAGAAAAGTTATACAATTGTTATATCAAATATTATAAAAATATATAACATATATGAATATGTCAAGGGGGAAAATTGTAATATTCACTGACTTTCTATGGTTGATGAGATTTTTGTCCATTTTATTTGCCCTTACCACTTTTCTCTATTTCTCAAATATTCTCTGTTAATATATTTTATTTTACTATTAGATATACAAACTTCACAAAAACAAAACTTCCAATTCATGTACATGTGGTTTGTATACATATTCTATGAATATTTATCTATGAAAAATACTTATATAACCTTTAACCAAAATGTACTTTTAAATTTCTACCCCAGAAAAACAGAATTTAGTAAAAGATTTATACATAAAGATGTTCAAAGCAGTATTATTTATCACACATAAAATTAAAGTGAACTTTTCAGTCATTCTATAATTAATGTTTTAAGAGCTAGCCGTGTCATGCATTATTATGAAGATTCAATTACAGTTATGACAATGAGTGTTTAGTAATGTTGAAAAACCTTTAAACATATTGTTAGGTGAAAAATGCAAGTTTTAAAATGAGGGATAATATTTTTATATGTAGATGTAAATGTGTTTACATAAATACAATTTACATGCTCACATACACAAAACAAGAAGATAGGAATGAAACTTAATAAACATGATGATAAGTTTATCAAATATTCTATTTTTATTATTATTGAATATTCCAACGTTTCCACCATGAACAACCCTGCCTTTAGAACATTGCTTTGAATGGTGCTTTCTACATTACTCTTTATCTGCCCTTTGGAACTTAACCTATATTTTTCTTCATTTTAAGGTAAGACAAGTAATACATCATGTATTTTGTATAATAAAAATATAAAATACTTATAATTCTATCTGTTACCAATATATAAAACAAATGACTGTAATCAGCATTTTTCTTTTTATTGTTAAACATTAAAAATGAGAGTTATTTTGTGTGCCATTATATGCTTAGCCATACTTAAGTGTGCTTTTTAAATGGGACAAATACTAAATCTGCCTTCAAGGTGTTTAATAATACAAATTAGTAATATATTCCATTTGTAATTTAAATATCATTATGATACTAAAAAAAAAAGTACATGTGGAAAAAAACGTCAACGCTTTAGATTGCAAAAGTATCATCCCAAAAGGTGAATTACATACTAGACAGTTCTACTGATTATAGAATAATTATACGCAATAAATACTGACTGAATTATGTCTATATGTTTGACAATCCAAACTATGAGTATCTGCATGACATATTCTTTTTCTATTCTCCAGCATTTGGAAACAGGCAAATCACAGTATCTGCTATCAATTTTCTGGTATGTATCACATATATATTTTGCTATTCATGCTCTAATTTTGTTATTATTAAGAAGAAAAACAGACTGTATCTGAGGATTTGCCATGTAGAAAATACGATATATATTTATATAATATATGTAATGATATAAAATGAAGTAAATAAAATAACTTTTTATAATCAAGTATTTAGCTCTCTAAATTTTATAATCAAAATGTTGTAGTCATCTGTAACGTTTGATTATTATTTGAAATATAATAAATATTTGAAAAATATATATTCAGTGATCCTACTGTATGCACATTTACCAACCTATAAAGAGCAAAAATTGTTTGCAAATCCTACAGATAAACACCTCAAAAACACTTTGGCATAATTGTTAATTTAACTAATTCAAGATGAACACAGAGTTTGCCTTTTTAATAAAACCTGGCCCTTTCTAAACTGTTCTCATTCAATTTCTTTAGATTGTTCTATGTAAATAAACATGTATATAGATAAAATTGTGTGAAAATCAATCTGGGTACCCAAGACTCTTGATTATTTCTAAAATGCATTAATTATTTCATCTGACACTTTTTTTTAATGCTTATATGCTCTATAACTCCTTGCTTTCATTCTGTGTTCATGTTCTCCTTTCATCCCTGTCATTGATAAATTAGTGAACTCCTATAATTCATCTCCGAATTCATATTTCTTGCAAAGTTTGTGTTCAACAACTTATTTCTAACCATTTTATACAGGTCATAAATCACCCACCACACTTTGTAAGGAGTTCTCACATGACCCTCTCTTGCTTTCTCTCTCTCTACATATCTTTAGTTAATAGTTTAAGTAAGTATGTACTCCAGTGTGTTGGCTTTGAAAAGGACAGATCTTGTTTTTGTCTTTTCAGCATATAGTTTGGCATAGCAGGAACTCATTATTTGTTTGAATAAATGGCACAGAATATTTATGTATTTGTAATTTCTTCAACAATATGTTGAAAATATATCACAGCCTTGTAATTTTCCAATAGTGCATACTGTTCAAGGAGAGGAATTCTGTGGTTCATGTGTTGTTACAGCGTTATGCAATGTTGTATACAGTGTACTACAACCCCTCTTGTATTAAGACTAATGTTCTGATATTAACTACTCAGTAAATCTGACGGAAGAGAAGAATAAATTTATGGATAAAAAAATAATAACTGCCTATTTGTTGGTAATTTTAGTATGTTTTAGATTAATATCTGATTATTCCTCTGCTTTTTATCCTTATGATGTTGTCCACTTTTTCAAAAAAAATGTGGGTTATAATTTTTTCTGTGTAATTAAGACAACTCCCTTTTCATATAATATTATTGATTTCTTTCCTTTTCTCCAATATAATATGGCTATGTATGTATTTATTCCCTCTTCTCAAATGTGAATGACTATACTATAAAATAAAACTTTTAATGAAAGTCATATCTTTTATTAAAAAGTTATGTTATACACGTTATAATATTTTTCTTAAAATATTGAGACATAATTAGACATAAGCAAAATTCTAATAGCTTGCAATTATACTTTTTTTTTTCCCAGAGACTCAAAATTTCTGCCTTCTTATTAAGCTACTGCTTTTTCCTCTTCACATAGCACTTTATTAATCAAGTATATTTCATACAGCCTCAGGCAAAAATTAATAAAGCCCAAGATGCTAAATTAAACAAACACTGATAGATGGTGTAATAGACTATGTCCAATAGAGATGAAGTAGGTAAATGTGATACTTTAATTCCACATTTAAGCACGTAACAAGCATTGTCTATTTCAATAACAGATTTAACAATTTGATAAACTTTAAATTTCTGTAATCTTTAGATTTAAATATTTTTAAATGGAAAGTAATATAATTAAAACCTGTGCTTTAATTATAGATAGTATAATATTAAGTATAGGTGAAAACTTCACTTAAAAATGAAAATATTGAATGTAGTTACATTCCATAGAAAAGCAAAATTTAGAAATAAGATAGAATGGCCACTGTGACTTTTTGACACACATGAGTTGTCATGAGAAATCAAGAAGACTTGTTAGTCCTGAAATTTCTTAGTAGTGTTTACTGTTAAGACATATTTAACTTTCACAAATAATATATGATATTAAGATATTAGTGTTAGGAAACTGAATCTAATATAAGACATATTAGATTCATATTAAGCAAAATATATTGTAAGGAAAACAAAATAATTTACAATGTGTACATAATATGTTGTAAAATCAGGCTCCTATTTTGTGGAAAATTCTTCGATTTTGGTGAGGTTTTTTTCTCTCTCTATTATATTCAAAGAAATAGTCTATCACTTCTCCCTTGGTTTAAATTATTTCTAACTTTCAACACAAGTTTGATTCCTCAGATACGTCCAGGTATGACAAATCTACAGGAAAAATTAAGGAGAATCAAATACAGGCAAATTTATGAAGGCATCAGAATAACTTTTCACACAAATTTTAGATGCAATCTTGTTTGTCTGATGTAAATATTGTGAATACATTTTATAATTTGATCTCTTTATATTTCCATGACTCTGCCTCATCCTCTGAACCCAATTACACCCAAAAGCCAACAAACAAAAATAACAAAATCACAATTGCAAAACAAAATGTACTTTATATAAAAAACCTGCCTTTTTTCTTTATCTTCTTGTCCCCTTAACTTTATGTTTACTCTCCAGAAGCTGTTAAAGTTTGTCAATTCTTTGCAGAATGAGGATTTTACCAAAAACGAACTCTTTTTCTTCCCTTTCTTAATGTCTTCAAAATGAAGGAAGTGGGAGGAATTGATAATAAAATATAAGACATGGCTTACAAAGTAATTAAAATAACTCTTTTCCCTGGTTTTGCCTCTGTGTCTTCAGTGTTCTCATTTGTTATTCAGTCACTTACGTGTTTTAAAATTATTCCTAAAATGCAAATAATCTTGGAGAAGAAAAAAATATGCTTTTATCAAGTAGGTACACCTCTTTTTGTAATATTTAGCTGAAAAGAACCTCGGGTACAGAACTGGTCATTGATTAGTGGAGAGGATGCTGGGAACAACTTATCATAGCTTTTAAAACAGGAGAGCAAGCCTTTACTATATAAACCACACAAAGGCCAAGAAACTGCTCATGAAATTTGGTGTTTATGGATAAGATACATGAAAAAAAAAAAAGGGTGCCAAAGTTCAGTGCTTTCATTCTCAGCAGTCTACTGAGATTTGGTTGTGACACATTTTCTGATCACTTACCTACCATTGATAGGTACCAATAAAAGGATTTATACTTACTGACTGAAAACAAAGTCTAGTACTCTGTGTGTTTTCATCATTTGCCATTTTGCTCTCATCTCAAATTTCCTGAAGCATCTGATATAAAGAATAACATGCATAGGAACCAACTTTTATACTTAAATTTTTGGGGATCATTACTTATTAAAGATTGATTTTGCAGACTAGTTGACTAAAGATATAAAATTAATGGCAATATTGTGCTTCACTCATTTCATTATAACTTATAATAATTGTCTGTTTTGAACTACGACTAATTTACTCCAAATTGTAGAAATATAAGAGTAATGATTTAAATAAAAATCAGCAGTGATTATAAAACTATAAAGATTTCACTTGTTAGAATATGTGATATTGAATCTAATGTAAAAAGAACTGTGAAAAAATCATGTATGTTTTTAATCATCATTTACTGCAGAGTTAGTATATGTAAACTAACTTTCTTTCTGAAGAGATTTATTTTATGGTGCTATTTTTATGCTATATTTTCATATTTTTGTGTTATACAGTATTGCATGAGAGCTCTATAAATTAAAAAATAATTCTGGTGTTCCCAAAGTTGTGATAATGAAATGGAGCATCATAGTAGAGATGAAATAATTTTAAGCCTTAAGTAAATTCCAAAATCAAATGATTTGAATTATTTTTTATTGATTGATAATAGCATTTCCTATAGCAAAGTTTATGCATAAAATAATTGTTTCAGGCAACAAATAAATTCATAAAATACATTAAAATATTTAGATATATAATTTCACATTATGCAAGAATATAAATGCAACATCTGAACTTTTATTTAGAGTCTTACCATTGTTTACTTTGAAAAGTGAAAATATATTGGTTAGTATATATATTTTCAGTTAAACCCAAAATTAACACTAAATGTATTTATTTTAAAGCACAATACATGTTATCATTATGTCTGTATAAAACATAGAAATGTGTATGAATGAGCTTCATAATAGACATAATAGAGGTGCAGAAAGTGAAAATTGAAAAAGTTCTGTAAATTTATGAACTTAGTAATAAAAACCACCATTTTATCATAAGAAAAAATATTTATGAATGCTGAAGCATTGTGATACTGGCTTACATTGTCAAAAGCAGTTAAGTCTATGTGGATATGCATGATCTATTAAAGTAGAAATTGAATTGTCCAAGATCAAAATAGTTAATAAATTTCCTAAGTGAAACTTTGTAATAATATATTTAGCTACAATTGTCCTTATTTTTGAAGTATTTATTCAGGTATAACAAATAAAACATAAGATATAGTTATTATTATTATTATTACTATTATTGTTGCTATAGATAAAGTAATAATGACTGAAACTCTAAACAAACTGAGCGTATGTTATTATCACATTTCTTTCTACATTGGTTCATACTACAGAGATTTACAGTTCCAGTTTTAGAAGACATGTAAGTGTGCTTTCTTGAAGATTCATCAGACGCTTTTTTTTTTTTTTTGGTCCATGAAAGCAAGTGTTTATTAGAGAAACACCTTTGTAAGCAAACCATGAGTATATTATTACAACATATTTCTTCATTGGTATCTATTAGGACATATTCGCATGTCTAGCTATAACAGGCAAATATAAGTATGCTTTGCTAAAGATGCATCATAAGCTATTTTCTTTCAGTGAATAAATGTTTGGCAAAGGAAAAAGATGAAAAGTATTAGTGTTAGGAACATTATAGCAATGTCTACATTTCAATTAAATTAATACAATGACTATTTATTACTTATTGCTCCAATGATAAAATTATAAGATATTGCACCTGTCGGCCGGGCACCTACAGACTCATGCCTGTAATCCCAGCTCTTTGGTAGGCTGAAGCGGGTGGATGATTTGAGGTCAGGAGTTTTAGATCAGTCTGCCCAACATGGTGAAACTCCATCTCTGCTAAAAGTACAAAAATTAGTTGGGCGTGGTGGCATGCACTTTTAATCCCAGTTACTCGAGAGGCTGAAGCAGGAAAATTGCTTAAGCCCGGGAAGCAGAGGTTGTAGTGAGCCAAGATCATGCCACTGCACTCTAGCCTGAGTATCCCTATAGCAAGATTCTGTCTCAAAAAATATGTGTATATATATATATATAGCACCTGCCTAAAATTAATAATAATACAATATCAATACATATAAAAGTGAGAACGGTTACATTAAAAGATAAAACGGATCATGTTCATTCCTATGAAAATATTGTGAGATTGCAGTATAAGGATTATTTATTTTTATTGTGGAAACCAAAAGGATTTTACTAACACTAAATGACAGAGCCTGACTAATTGATGGCTACCGATTCTATATTAGGACATGTGGGTTTTGTTCTATTGATACATCATTTTCATTTATTTAAGGAAGAGAATGATCAATTTGATGAGGCCTGTAAAAAATTAACAATATTTAAATATTGTAAAAGTGGATCATTGCAAGTTGTCCTCCCTCGACCCCTTGCTTTAGTGGTTGGTAATTTGTATCATTCCGCAATGACAGCGGGTTACTGACCAAAACACAATGCCTAACAGTAAAAGACGAACAACTTTATTGCTGAAATCCCACATATTATAATTCAACTGTGTCTTTCAACCTGAGAGAGTGAGATTTAACAGGGTGTACTTTTAGAAAAAAATCATAGGCACAGTATGCTCCATAATACATCACTTCTAGTAATATACATCAACAAAAGTCCTTTGTAGGTTATTAATTTGATACTGTCCTACACTGAACATTGTTAAAAATTTAGAAGTACTGATTAAAAATAAAATTAAAAGGTCAGAAGAATGAGAGTATAGAGGGTCCTGAAAAAGTAAGCTATTTTATTTACTTTCTTGATCAAAGTATTTATTTAAGCAAAAGATTATTTTTGTATGTAGATACTGATTCTTCAATATTATACTGGTTGACAATGTTATGTTTTATATTTATCCTTATAATGATAACTCTAGAAAATAGAATGGATTATTCATTCATTAACATTCTGCTATTATTCAAATGAATGCTAGTTTGAAGCAACAAGTATTCAAATTACTCAATAAAGCTTATATAAGTACAAATAAATATTTTCAAATTTGCTTTAATACACACCTGTGCCCCAAAATGTAAAGTTAATTTAAAATTTTATTATGTATCATCCTAAAGTTCATTATTACTTAAAACACTAGCACCTGGTGGATTTTTTTATTAATTATGGGGAAAAAGCACATTACATAATATTTAGCATCTTAACCATTTTAGTGTACACCTTATTAGTGTTAAATATACTCACATTGTAGAGCAAGATTTATAATAAATCTAGGCTATCTTGTTCTTGACAACAGAAGCAGTTCTGGCAATGTCCCTGGGTTGCTTATAATTCTGTGAGTGTGTTTAGGAAATGTAAACCTTTTTATTTGATAGGTTAAATTTTTTGACTAAAAGTGCAATTATTGAAAATTTTTAATTGTAAATTATTAAGCCATTTAATATTCTTAATTTGTTACACTATTATAGTGTAGGAAAATGATGCTGCTTCTTACATGTAGTGTTCAAGTACTATTTCTTTCTAAATTTATCTGGGCAATGTTTTCTTAGTATTTTTATTACGTTATTATGTGTTTATTGTCTAGAATATCTTGATCATCTGTATCACTTAAGGCCACACATAGGTAATATGTAGCATCTCATGTTTTATTATGTAAGATAATTTTAACTTTAATAATGTAAAATCAAACTTCTTCATATCATCTGCCCCAAACTTTGTTTATTAAATTTCTTTTTAAACTTATTGTCTGCCAAATGAAGATATATTTAGATAAACATCAATCCAGGAGAAATAAATGTCATGCTGAGAAATAGTCCAGTGTTTCACATTTAATTGCTGTGCAATTATAATCAGTAATAGAATAATACATTGAGTTTTACAGCACTGACTGAGCTTCTTGATCTTACTCAACCCTTACCTAAAAGGAAATTATATCACCAGTTTTATCTAATTCAGTTAACATTGCAAGCTGTATTAGATTCACCCAAAGGTGTAAAAACCAGTACTGGAAATTACTAGTTATTGTTGCTCTTTAAAATCCTTAAGAAGTTGCTAAATTGATATTTAAGAATCTCTAAGCATAGAGATAAAGTTTTTTTTTTCTCCCCACTCTTACCATGGAAGCATTTCATAAGCAGATAGCAGGTTGAATAAACTGGCTTCTTTACCACTTTTTTTTCTACTTTTTCTCTCATATTTTTTTATTTTAGTATGTAATTATATTTTCTTCTAGGTGCAGATTCACCTAATGATAAATTTGGTGTTATTGTAAATCTATCCAGTCTCTAACTAAAACCTACATGCTATATTTTCATGGCTCATTATTTGGTTAAACAATTGACACTTCAATATTTAGCTTTGTTATGATAAATAAGCAGGAAGAAGAAAATATTTTGATGTTTGAATGAGTATAAAAATATTAATAATCTCAAAAAATATGTTTCATCAGAAGAATTTTAATTTTGAAAACATTTTTTCACAAATTTTGGTAACTTAACTTGCTTTTTAATGAACATTATATAATAGTTTCTATTTTTGTATTTGGCACTGTGAGTGATGGAAAATAAATATGACAAGCTGTCTAAGTTGAAAGATGTACAAAAGATACAAAGATTAAACAGAAATGTAACAAACCATTAGTTTAGTAATCATGGATTTTGTAGTGCTAACGATTTGTGAGAATGAAGTCTAGAGAAGTGAGATTAATGTAAGATAATCTGCAGAAGTTTTTATTGATTAAATTGGTAACTAAAATTATCACAATAATTTTATTGAGCAAATATGATGTGCAGGGTACTTGACTTCATTCAATCATCATAAATTCTCTAGAGACAGAAATCAACATTTGCATTTGAGTGAAGAAATGAAATTCCAAATGTGAAATTTACTTAATCTTTCATACATAGTAAATGAAATATGTGGCATGTGAATGCAGGTTAACGCCACAAAAGCCCACACACTTATCCACATTGACATGTAAAAATTTCAACTAAAAACGTCTTACCTGAAAATTTGAAATTCCACTTTTTCTTTCTAATGATAACTTAAGAAACCAAAAGCCTTTCTATAATTATTTTGTGTAGTTATATTGCTACAAAATTTGTATTTGCATTGTTTTCTGGATCTTTAAATACGGATTTAATATATTTGGTGTATTTATTTACATTAGATCCTGGGTGAATTAATTTATTGAAGCTGGTTATTTTAAGTAGGATTTTTACATAACAGTTCTAGATGATGAAAATTGATTTAAATTTTCTCTTTCAATCTATTTTTTCCCTAAAATTTAGAAAGTGTTGAAATATATACCAGTTGTTTATTGTGAGAAACATCCAGAAATTAAAGTCCATAGAACTGTTATTATATATGAAAAATACATACAGAAATGGTTGAAAAGAACAAAATCAGATATATTTTATGATATTAATAACATTCAAGACACTGAGTTTGATGGGTGCTCAACTTTTGGGATATATTACAAGTTGAATGACTTCAAACAATAAAGATTTAGAATAATATATTCTGTTATTAGTAACATAGTATTTATATGTCAAATACATACCTTGTGTTAAATCAGATAAGGTATATATGGCAGACAAAGGAAGGGTCTTACCCTCACAGGAAACATGTTGCAAACTAGGAACATTATTAGTCTCAGGAGATGGTGGTAATCCTTTGATCTTGGAGGAACATAGTGGCCTATTAACAGGGACAACTAGTAGAGTGTATATGATCAGGACGTCTTGACAGATAAGCAGCAGGTTTCTTTGTGTGGCAGCACTGCTCACGGTAGGTTTTCTAAACTGAACTGAAATTAGTTGGAAATCAAACAATCACCATTTCACTAGAAAGAGTTTTACTGTTTATGAACTGAGATTAACATAAACCTATGCCAAATTTGTCTTCAGCAAGAGTTGTCTCTGTATGATCTGAAAGTCTTCCCATAGTAACAAGTACAAAACTGATTAACAAGACAGTTTAAACCTGATTATCAAACAGTGTGAAAAATATCTTCAGAATTTCCAATTGTTGTGACTAATTATTTTTATTCTATATATGCCAGCAACAGCTTCTTTCATTGTTGTAATTTAAAAAGTACTTCTCCTTATGATTAGAATAAAATATATATCTTTTGAATCTTTGGGATTAATGTATTACACATAGTTTATATGTCCCTTGAATACATTTTTTTTTAATAGGCAGAGGTATATCACACTGAAAATGTTTAAAATGTTTTGCAGATTTGTGAAGCTGGGAATCATTTCATTAATGTAATGTTGTCTCATCCCAATCACACAGGTTAGTTCTATTTTCTTTTTCTTTTCTTTAGAGTGAATTGTGTTAATAATTATTTTTATAATCTTACTTCAAAAAATCTTTAAAAATCAAAATATCAATAGTTAGAAATATGTATGCCACATTTTTCCCTTTTATGTCTAATTTTTCCAAATATTTGAACAAAATCATATTCTCTAATAATTATTTTTCTAAAATGAAGTGTGCATGCACACCATCACCCTCCTCACATACACTAAACAACATCACTTAAATATGTAAATAAATGAACTAATGAATAAGAACAAAAGCAGTATAAAATCACTTGATGAATATCCAAATTACTAAACTCTCACTATTCCTCTCATTTGTACAATATTTAAGGTAGTCTCACTATTTCAAATGACTTTTAATTTTTTTTTTTTTTTTAATAATGGTAATCTTTCATTGAAAAACACAATGGTACTGAAATACCAATGCCTGGGAGAACATTTCAAAGTTAGTAGTATATTTAGTTTGGTGCAAAAGTAACTGTGGTTTTGGACCATGAATTTTAAATCATTGTAACTAGTCTCATACACATCTTTATTAATCAAAATAGGAAACATTATAATCAACACATTTTTGCCAATGAGAAATAGTTCATTCCTGTGGTATGAAAATCCATGCTTTAGGATTCAATAAACTCTTGAAAAGCATTTTCTGCCCCCTGCTGATCGTGGAAGCATTTTCCGTACAAAACATTTTCCAGATGCTTGAAGAAGTGGTAGTCAGTTAGTGAGAGGTCAGGCGAATATGGTGGATGAGGTAAAACTTTGTAACCCAATTCATTCAACTCTTGAAGTATTAGTTGCGTGATGTGCAGTCAGACACTGTCATGGAGAAGAATTGGGTCCTTTCTGTTGACCAGTGTTGGCTGCAGACATTGAAGTTTTCTATGCATATCATTGATTTACTGAACATATTTCTCAATTATACTGGTTTTGCTAGGATTCAGGAAGCTGTGGTGGATCAGACTGGCAGCAGAACACCAAACAGTGACCATGGCCTTTTTTTGAGTGGGCAAATTTGGCTTTGGGAAGTGCTTTGGAGTTTCTTCTCAGTCCAAGCACTGAGCTGGTCATCACCAGTTGTATAAAATCAACGTTTTGTTGCACATCAAATTCCAATCAAGAAATGGTTCATTGTTCTTACATAGAATAAGGAAACACAACACTTCCAAATGATTTTTTTTTTTAATATTTTTGATCAGCTTATGAGGAACTGACTTATCAAGCTTTCTCACCTTTCCAATTTGCTTCAAATGCCAAAGGACTGTAGAATGGTCAATACTGAGTTCTTTGGCAACTTCTCCTGTAGTTGTAAGAGGATCAGCTTTGGTGATTCATCTCAATTGGCCAATGTCAACTTCTGAGGGCCAGTCACTGTGTTCCTCATCTTCAAGGCTCTCACCAAACTTCTTGAAACACCACTGCATTGTGTGTTCATTGGCAGTTCCTGGGAGAAATGTCTTGTTGATGTTGTGAGTTGTCTCCACTGCTTCATGACCCATTTTGTATTTTTTTTTTTTTAAAGGAGTCGCTCTCTTATAGCCCAGGCTGGAGTGCAATGGCATGATCTTGTCTCACTGCAAGTTCTGCCTTCCCGGGTTCAAGCGATTTTCCTGCCTCAGTCTCCTGAGCAGCTGGGATTACAGGCGCATACCATCATGCCTGGCTAATTTTGTATTTTTAGTAGAGACAGAGTTTCACCATGTTGGCCAGGTTGGTCTCAAACTCCTGACCTCAGGTGATCTGCCTGCCTTGGCCTCCCAAAGTGCTGGGATTACAGACGTGAGCCACCGTGCCTGGCCCATGGCCCTTTTGAACTCAATTAAGAAAATTGTTCGAATTTGCTTTTTGTCTAACATCATTTCCGTAGACTAAAATAAACAAAAAATACCAGCAAGTGATAACTCATTAGCAAAAAACATAAAGTGAGAAATGCCAATTAAAATGTTGTATAACATAATCACATTTATTTAATAATGTATTCCAGTATAAAACAGCAAATTCTAACACTGCAAAAACTCAGTTGCTTTTATACTCACCTATATATTTGAAAAAGTTTACAGTGTCTCCATTATTTAAAGATATTTTTGGTAAATCAGTCATCTCATTTAGACTCAATTATATGTAGGGATTCCCAACTGCTTACCCTATATAATATATAATTTAATTGTAAAATCAAATAGAAACGAGAAACATTTGTTTATCATTTGGACTACTTGTTATTAATAATTCAACTGAAAACATAAAGGCATATTTGACTCTTCAATTATGTTTCAACATCAACCTGAATTTCTTAACATTTTCTTGCCTTCCACACTTCTGGCAGGCTAGTGAAACATATAAAACATTTTTTCAGAATAATTGTTACATAAAATAAAATACATATAATTACAGAGGAAAATTATTATATTGAAACAATTGTGAATATATGAAAAAACTAGAATATAAGCATATGTTTGTTATTACAACATTATACAACATTGTGATGAGTACTCAACTTTTTGAGTATTGGTTATAAATTACATATATGCATATTTAAAAAGAAGTGTACTGTGACTTAAAAATATCTGTGCTTCATCTTGGTGAAAAAAATTACACGTAAGGCCAATGCTCTTATAGTTTGTGGTCCTCATTTGCAATGGAGTGAAGCTTATATTTCATTAAGAGGTTGAATGCCATTTTTATCTGATCCAAATTCATTGATACATTGAATTTTCTTTGGATGCACGTGAACCACAAGTGAAAAACATCTGAGAGTCTAATTTTTTTTAGTAGAGAAGCAAAACACAATATAATCTAATAAAATGCTAGCATTGCCAATGTTTAAATATCACAGATTTTAGTCTTAGCTAGGTGACTAGCAATGTAATCAACTCAAGCTTCTTCATTTATCTGGAATATGGTCTCATCATTTGAAAATGAAAATTTTAAGTCATCCAGGAATTTTGAAATTGTTCATGTAAGAAGGCCGCCTTCTTTTAATATTCACTCTTTATCTTGCTTTGTATATTGCTCTTGAGGAGTCAGATGCCAATCTAATTCTCTCTCTTTTGTTAAATGGTGTTTTTTATTTGCTTCAAGGCACAGGTGACTTTTTTTTATTATAAAAGTCTATGAATCTTGAGGGAGTGTCTAAGGGTTGATAATTCTCAACCAATTTCCCCAGGATCACTGGGTACTCTTCTAGTAGGTTAATCCTTTATTTATTTATTTATTTTTTATTTTAAAGTTCTAAAACATTTCCTCAAATTACAATTTTAAAATTAGTTTTATTACATTGTGGAGTGTGAGGGGGGTTACACTATACCTATGTTCCTTCTTTTGTCTCTAGCTTCTCCATCACTTTCTCTTTAACTATCTTTGTCCCCCTTTTTTTTTGGCTATTCTTTTCATCTGCTTAATATCCTCTGTTCTATTGAATGTTACATCCTTAAGCAAATGAAAATGTATTTCATATTACTGGTAAAGTTTCTTCTTTGTCCACAATTTCTTGAGTACAGTCAACTCTTATTTTGTATTATATTTTCTTGTTTTTTTTTTTCCATATCAATTTTCAGTTTTGGGATTTCTTAATGGTTACATTCTTTGGTAATTGTGTGTGTGTGTTCTGTAAATTTTGTTTTGTTTTCCGTGTGGTGGGTTAGTTTTTGTCTGCAAACAAAAACACTTTCTAGTTTATTCACACAGAAGTATCATGTAAATGCTAATTGATTTACATTAATTATTAAATGTGTGAATTGACCTTGAAGAAAAATAACATAGTTTTTTACAGATGAGGTTACTGAAATCTCTTTAAAAAAAAAAAGTGCTTTCTGGAAACAGGAGCTTTTTCATTGTGTCTTCTCATCCTCTAACATCGTTGTTTTCTAAATTCCTTGAATCCCAGAACATGTTTCCTTCCTTCCCTTCCCTTCTAAGCTTCCACATGATGCCTTCCCTCTCTGAGCAAACTTCTCTGGGCATCATTTTCTTTCTTAAAAACAATGTCCTCCAAGATGACAACCTCTGGCCTCAACTATTTTCGGATAATTGTATTCAATTTCTCCCTATCCAGGGTTCTGATCTATCAGGTCCCAAATCTTTTCTCAAATTGAACTTTCATCTTCTGATTATGAATTATTAATAGCTACATATTTGATGCATTTTTTTTCCTTACATAAAATCTTTATCAGTTCCTGTGTCAGCTCTAAATTGGGGTCTCCTACTCTTGAATTTTTATTCCCTCACTTATATATTACTTGAAGTTTGTTGTAATATCTATTAGATGTGCTTTAGGCATGGTTTATGTCTAGAAGGGAACCATTTAATATTGATTGTACAAAGTGTCATGAGTCATATTCTCAGGTGGCAGAAATTGGTATAAAAGAAGGTTATTAGGAATTATGGAAAAGAGGCAAGGAATGAGAACTATGCCAAAGAGGAAGTTGAGCTGTGATGTAGTCACAAGAATGGTCTTAGTCAACTCTATTGGTATCTGAAGCTAGAATAACCCTGTAGAGGTGTCAAGAGCTGGAATGGCTGGAGACAGATAAGTTGGATGTGTGTCTACCTGGGGAAGAAAAAGACCTTGTAAGGCAGTTCCCTTTAGTGAAGGACATTTTCTCGGAGGATATGACAGTTAGAAGAAAGCTTCAGCAAATGTAGATACTGTGCAAACTACAAAGTATATATATTTCAATTATTATTTATTTATGATCTGGATAAATTACCACCTTTGTGAACCCACTTTGTCTAACAGTACTTAAAATGTAAAAATGACACTTTTTTCTGGTATATGGTTCCCTGAATCAATAAAGTTCTTTTAGTAAAGATCACTGAAATCATTATGATGTGCATTTGTTTTGGTGTTACAACACCTTTCCTCCCAGACTATTCTTCCATCAGTGAGTTTGGAGTCTTAGAACTGATTCACATTCCAATACTGGGAAAGGAATAGTAGATCTGACATAGCACCAGCTGTCTCAAATCTCTTAACTATTCATCTATAGTTTATTGTATTTGTCTAAATTTAGCAACAGCATTGTTGGATATCCAACTGTCTAGCTTCTAGGGACATTGTGTTCTATTAGTCAAACATAACTTTCTGCGGGTCAAGCCTCCTATGAACAGGGCACTCATTTTGACTCAGGAACAATTAAGTGCTGTAATTGGAACTGCCTTGATTTTCTAGGGAGTGGTGTGAGGAAGTGTCCTTTAATCCCATTCACTACTAGTCATCTCAGTTCTAAGATGACTTCACTTACAGTCAGCCTGATACAGCAAAAGTCAACATGAATCTTAGTAATGATGGTGTTCCTTTTACTACCATATTCCTCGTAGTTTTGAAAAGTGATGTATCATATTGGCTCTCCCATGGAACATGAAAAAAAACCCTGAGACCATGAAATGGGGAAAAATTCCTTGCATAGAAAGAAGTCCTCTCTTTTCAGCCTTGCCTAGACTATCTGCTCTAGGATTCCTATTTCTCTAAGGCACTTAGCACCTTCTTTCCCAGCCTGCCATGAAAATTCTAACATTTCTTCTTGCTTATTGTGGGCCATTGCTTTGTTCATGCTTCCAGGTACATATTAGTAGTGTGTTTGTACAATCTTAGCAGGATATTTACTCCTGTATTCCAGGACAGTGCTCCAAAAACATAAACAAACCTTTATTCAACTTTATACTTTACCCCTCTTTTCAAACACCCTCAGATTCCAATCCCATGTGTATTCTCCTAAATTTTGTTGGTTCACGCTGGCTGGGTTCTGCAGCTCCTTTGGGGCATTATCCTTTTTTTTTCTCTATCATCCCCAGAACAACCTCAGGTAGTTTATATTGTGATATAACCCTAGTTGTAGTGGCTAGAAGAAAAGATAGGGGAGATTTTCCAGGGGGTTTTCTTGCAGTGTAGTGCCTTCTGTGTTGCTTTTAAGGAAGGGTGTGCTCAACTTTCATAGGGAAGAGTGGGCCACCTCTGCGGGATCAAGGAGTTTATGAAAACCTAGACATTCCAAGATTGTGTGATAAACAAACTTGACCTAACAGATCTGCATTGGATTGGAGTTGGATATTCTTTGGAGTTTGACTACTTTTACAATTAAGACCTGGACCTATTTCTCAGCTGTTTTGCCTTCTTCAGGCCTCTTTGCACACTACCTAGGTGGACCTCTAACTTTCACAACTGCCTTTTAATTGCCAAGTATCAGTTTGTTTTAGATGTCTTTGTCCAGCCATTCAATCACACTTGTAGTATTAGACCAGATAGAATATTGTTTTCAACCACTATAACGTAACACTATCCAAGTAGTAAAAGGTTTTTACACTTGGATTGCTACTCTGTACCTTTAGTTATCTGTCTGCACCTACCATCAGCTATGGAGTACATATTGTAGGCCTTATGGTAAGTCATTCAACTCTAAAATGCCATTCCAACATCTGCTTTTTGGGCCATTCCTGGTGCCAAATATCTAAGCTGGGTTTTCTGGAATGCAGATGCCAGGATGGAGATTAATGCTCAAGAAGATTGTTAAGGAGTGGTTTTTATGGATAGAAGAAATAAATCATATTTAGGTAGGAAATTGAGAGCAATATAGTCTCAACAAGTCTCCAGTGATTGCATGGGACATTCTAAAACTGGTATGAAAAATCCATGTTCTCCTGAATTGAGTCAATCAATTTTCAATATTGATCAAATACCGTATTAAGGCTAAGTCAGTGAGTGTGACCTTGGGTGAGATTGCTTCCGACTATAGGGAGTACAGAAGTTGAAGGTTCTCTCCCAGTAGCACTCCCTGAAGCAATGGAGTAAACCTTATATGCCTAAAGAAGAACCTGGTGGCACAGCATTTTAATGTAAGGAACCTCCTGACTTTAATTTAATAGAAGCTCTATTATAATAACTACAGGTTGAGAGAACATTTATGAAGAATATAAGTATTAAATTAGTAACTCCTAAACTTATTTAATATTACAGTTAATAGCAACTGTGTATACTTGAAACTATATTATCTATATACATATATTTTTCTGTGTCATAAGGCATATCCATTATTTAATCTACAAAGTAGATCTGGAAAAAATGTAGATTTGTAGACCCTTGATCATTCCGCACCTCTAGGGGCTGAACACTCATAAACTACAGGCTCTAAAGCAGACTATTCCCTGAACCTTCTGCCTCTGAAATTCAGTGACTATAACCTGGGTAGATTCCTCAATTATCTTTATTTTATTAATATACAGACATTACACAAAGGTGTCTACATAAATACTGTAAAAAATCAGTAATATCGAAAGACCTACATATTTGTATTTATGAACAGTTGTAAAATCTGCACAATACTTAGCATAATTTTTAACTTTGATATTTCAGCAATTGCTACAATTTTGAAAACAACACATTGACATTTTATTATGACTTTAGAGTTATAAGGAAAAGAGTTTAGCTGATTTGTTATCTGATTAAATCTTGGTATGGAGAATAAAACAGTAATTTTATAATTCATACTTACTTTTACAAAAGTCACAGCTCCAAGTTCAACTTGAAATCATTAAAAATTTGTTATCTAAAATGTTTCTTAAAAACAATTGAAAAGGGAAAAATAATTAACAAAAATAAAGTGACAATATGTGAAGGATAATGAGAGATGTAAATATCAATCCTGATTGTTGAACAGAAATGTGATATCTCAGAATATTAACTATACTGATATTAAATGTAATCCTTTTATGAGAAGTTTGCATACTTTTCTGGTATAAATGACATCTTTATAAAATTCCTTATGATTATCACCAATTTAATACAAGGAATCGAGGTATTTAATAATCTCAAACAAATATATCTTCTTTGATAGTAAAGGGGAATGTGAAGAGGTGGGCAAATGTTAAAACATGCTTTATAATTTCAGTATGTAGTACTATTTCAACTATTATAATGTAAAAATAATTTATATATATTTAAGATCTTAAAGAATTCATTATCCTTATGTTCTCTGCAATGTTACAGCAACATAGCTGTAGACATGGTATGAAAATGACAGCTATTTTATTTGAGTCAAAAGGTTGTAACATTTAAAGCTGGCTCTCTTCTGAGTAATTTGTAAAATAGGTTGCTATAAATATATGATGACATTTCATGTGGTACACAGTTATTTTGGGGACTTAGTATTATATAATAAGCATATGATCAGATTTGCAATATGTAGCATCATTGACATTTTACTTTCCTTTGCAAAAGGAAACAATGCCTGTTTCCCAAGTCCAAATTATAACCCCTTCACATGGATGTTTTTCCTGGTTTCATGTCCTAACTACACCTATGAGGTATGTTATTTATGTATGTAAATCCTTGAATCCTATTCATGATATACTAAATGAATGTGCTTATGTATTTATATGTATTATAAACTAATATATACAAGAAAAATATAGAGGTCTTATCTATAGATCATGGTATAAAAAATAGAACATTTCAATCACAATTTTTTCAAATATTAAAGTCTTTCATTTTCTTATAAATATGATCCCATTTTATGAGATTGCTTGTGACTTTATATGTAAAAATTAAATTATTTTTTGAAAATGTATTCCTATTTATAAGTTTTCTAATATTTTAAGCCTTAAAATTACCTATTCAAAGCCACAAGTGAAGAAATTACTAGATTACATTTATGTATGTGCTAATTTAAGTTTTAATATAACAGATTGGATCATGGATTAGTTTCACAGTCATGACACAAACACTGCCAGGTAAGACCTAGATTTAATGACAATTAATCAAATAAATGCATCTTTAGAATAAATGGTTTCTGAGAAAAAGTTATTATGGTATTAAAGTATAGCATGTTTGCAAAAAGATTTTATAATTTCATATTGAGTTTGATTTTTAGCAGTATTAAAATATATTGAAGTACTTTTGCTATTTATCTCTGTATAATTGTTGCTTAATCCAAGCCAGGAATTGTAATCCAAATGTATTTATTAAGCAATGAAGTTTTGTTTAGAAGAAGTTTTAATAATAATGCATTTCGCTTGAAACTTCTTCTTGTGCATGTGCACAGGCATGTGTATGTGTTTTGTCTTCAAAGGAAGAGTTGCGGTGTATGAGAGTTCATCTTGAATACTGAGCATTTTAACACACACTAAGAAGCTGAATTGCATGATTTCCATTTAGTAGAAGGACATATGTAATATCCATTTTATCCATTTTGTTATATTGTACAAAAGTTTTGAATCACAATTAATGTGGTTTATTATATGCATGTAGAGGAATATATGCATATAGGCAACTATTATTGAAAATTTTTAAATACAAAATAGATCCTTATTTGGGAGTATTTTGTGGTTGTGGTATGTAAAATATGTAGATTCATTTTTAATTTTGTAATGTATTTTCTATGTTTACTCATTCATGCAATATTGATTAGCTATTGCTAGGGAATGGGTATGAATAATGAAAATTGATAAGAAATTATGCAACATTTGGGAAACATCTTAAAAGCTAAACATGCTAGTGATCCTTTTCCTAATATAAAGTATTTGATAGAAATAAGAAAGAAATAATAATTATTTCTTTTTTCTTCTAGTTGGAATTTTTACACTTCTGATGAGTATCCAGATGTCTTTGTGGGCACAAAAGAAACATAAGATTTATCTGAGAAAATTCAGTTCATATATTCATAGAAAATCAGCAATGATTCCATTCATATTGTAAAAAAAAAATCTCCAATAGAAAATGGCAATATATAAATTCAATAAATAAGACTTAATTAAGGATAGTTAACTATTATACTCCAACAATTCATGAGCAACAGTATATACACTGAGTAAAAATATAAAATAGTAAAATTTCACTAAATTTAGAGTAATTCACATGGTAATAAAAAGTATAAATTATAAATGCAATTAACTAAGAACAGCTCTGAATGTATTTGCATGGGATTGGTCCTTGAATAAAATTGTCTTACTTCATTAATACTTCACAGTACTATTTGCATAAGGCAAAATATCACAACAAAGAAACAACCTGATTAAAAAATGAAAAAGTGATCTGAACAGACATTTCCCAGAAGAAGATATATACATGGCGAATAAGTATATCTTTAAAACACTCAATATTAACTATTCATAACGGAAATGTAAATCAAAACCACAATGAGATATCATCTCATCCTAATTAGGGTGACTATTATCAAAAAGACAAAAAATATGACAGCCGTTGTGGCTCATGTCTGTAATCCTAACACTTTGACAGGCCAAGGCAGGAGAATTGCTTGAGTCCAGAAGTTTCAGATCTGGGCAACATATCGGGACTCTGTCTCTAAAAAGCATATGAAGATTCTGTCTCTAAGAAAACTTTTATAAAGTAAAAATTAGCTGGGTGTGGTGGCACATGCCAGTAGGTAGTCCCAGTTACTCAAGATTGCTCCAGCTTAGGAGTTCAAGGCTACAGAGAGCCGTGATTAAACCAAGGCACTCCAGCCTGGGTGACAGAGTGAGACTGTCTCAAAATAAAATAAAATAAAATAAAATAAAATAAAATAAAATAAAATAAAATAAAAATTGGTGAGGATGCAGAAAAAAAAAATTAACTCTTGGACACTGCTAGTGGGAATGTAAACTAGAGCAGCCACTGTGGAGAACACTATGGAGTTTCTTCAAAAATTACAAATAGAACTATCATATGATCCAGCAATACCATTACCGGAAAAAGGAAATCTGTATATTAAAGAGACATTTGCACCCTATGTTTACTGCAGCACTATTCACAATAGCCAGGATATAGAAGAAACTTAGGTGTCCAACAACAGTTGAATGGATAAAGAAAATGTGGTATATATACACAACAGAATACTATGCAGCCATAAAAACTGAATTCCTGTCATTCAGGACAACATGGATGGAATTGGAGGGCATATGTTAAATGAAAGAAGCCAGGAACAGAAAGTTAAACATTGCATGTTATTACTTATATGTGGAAGCTAAAAAAATTGATATCATAGAAGTAAAAAATAAAACAGGATACTACAGGCTGGGAAAGCTGCAGCAAAGGGAGACTAGAGAGAGATTTGTTAAAGGATACAAAGTTACAGCTTGGTAGGAGGAATAATTTTTGGTGTTCTATATCACTGTAGGATGACTATAGTTAAGAACATTATATTCTATATAGTTTCAAATAGTTAAAAGGGGATTTTGTACCCAACACAAAGAAATGATAAATGTTTGAAACCATGGATACTCTAATTTATCTCATCTGATCACTATAAATTATATGTATTGAAACATTACTATGTATCTCCCAAATATGTTCAATTCTTATGTGGCTTAAAAAATAAAATTTAATTTAAAAAGCATCTGATTTTTAAAGTAAATATTTTTCAAAGTTTTGACATTTAAATTACTTGAACTCCACATTATTTTGACAACAATTTAATTCTTTTGTTGTTCAATTTTAGTGAGATGTGTCATAGGTATTATGTCATTAGTTCAAATTCTTGTGGAAATTATACCTGTATTATAAGCATAATATTTTTATTTAGTTGTGTACCTTATTTATTAATAATACAGACATTGTATGCTATCATACTGGAATTTACAATTAAAATATTTTCTGTTCATTATTTGATAATCATTCTGAATATATATTTTGAAATATATACTGTTCATATTTATATGTAAATTATATTTATACATCTTCTGAAATATATTTCAAAATATTTGTTGTACGTGTGTATATGTGTATATTACATATATACACATGTATTACATATATACACATATATATGCACATACACAAGTATATATATATATTTCAAATGGATTTTATGCACTTGCATAGCGAAAGTACATTGGTAATTTGGGGACATTAAGAGTGGAAAAATTTGTTTTATTTTTAAATCTTTAAATACCTATCATCTCTGAAAGCTTATGTGCACGTGTGTGTATATGAGTTTGTATGTGAGCATGCATACATACTTGACAAAGAGATGACCTGTATAAATCAAAGTACACATTATTTAAAATATTTAAAAGAGGCCGGGTGCGGTGGCTCACGCCTGTAATCCCAGCACTTTGGGATGCCGAGATGGGTGGATCACAAGGTCAGGAGATCGAGATCATCCTGGCTAACACGGTGAAACCCCGTCTTACTAAAAAATACAAAAAACTAGCCGGGCGAGGTGGCGGGCGCTTGTAGTCCCAGCTACTCGGGAGGCTGAGGCAGGAGAATGGCGTGAACCTGGGAGGCGGAGCTTGTAGTGAGCTGAGATCCGGCCGCTGCACTCCAGCCTGGGCGACAGAGCGATACTCCATCTCAAAATAAACAAACAAACAAACAAACAAACAAACAAATGTTTAAAAGAAATGTTCAGTTTCTTCTTATTTTTTAATTGTGATTCTTTAGATTTGTTAGTCTATGGAGCATTTTCAATTCTCAGATTATACATATGAAATAAAATATGTTTATTAAAGCTCTTAGATTATATGCATATATAACAATATATAAATATATGACAATATATACATATATGACTATATATATATATGACAGTATATTGTAAAGTAGGTCTATATGCACTGGGCAGGGACTGTTTATTACTAACATATGTGGCCACTAAAGAAATAACAAAAAGCCCTTTTAAAAGCCTTATAATTCCCAAAGCATACTATTAAAATTTCTAAGGAGAAAACAATAACAACAATAAAATTCTCATTCCCTAATATCTATTCAGCTAAATTGTATGATATCATTTAATTATCTTAAAAAGAAATGTCAGTGCATTAAATCATATATACCCAATGCAGCTATATGATCAACTTCTTGTAATAAATGTCCCTTTTCTGAAAGACTAAGAATAGTTTCTGTTTTTGCAACTGGATCCTGACAAATAGTAACTTAGGAAATTTGCACATTCTTGTAGGACTAGAAGAAGGTCTTTACGTATGGGGCACCTATATGACAGACATTTTTCTTCCCAATGTGTTACATTCCCTTATGCCAGTTGCTCCATCATATTTTTTTCATATCAGTTATTCCCTTACTGTTGGCAGATATACCTTAGTTAAAGGATATCTTCATTATGAAATGTGTTTTTTTAAATGTATTTCTCGTTTTTATTTCCAGGTGGTCTCACTGCCTAAGACATCAAAATAAAAAGCCTGACAAACTTACACCATCTTGTTATAAATATTAATGCTACAGGTATAATCCTGCAGCGGCCATGTACGCGTTTTTAGCCTTTAAAACCTAAGCTTCATATATAGGTTTTAGGAGTTACTATACATAAGATGTACACATATGCATATATGTATGGGTGTGTGTGTAAATGTGCGCACTTATAAACTTTAATGATACTCTCTAAATTAATATATAAGGTTTATATAAATAATAAGTTTGCATTGATGGCTGAAAAATTGTGCATTTCCTTTAATATAAAACAAATCTCTATAATCTCACATATTCATGGTTTTTTTACCACATATCTAAGTAACTTAATCTTAGCTTCTGAAGTATTTTGCAGGAACAGCATTTAACACTGCAGAGATTAGTTGTAGGTGTCTTAATTACATTTATATATCAGTGTGTTTGGTGGGGAAAGAAGATAAAAAATAAAACATTTAAATATAAAATTAAAATTAAAATTAAAATTAAATATGACATTTATTTATAGTAGATGTCATAATTTGATGATATTCATAGGAAAAACATAAAGGAAAAATTTAAATGCAAAAAAATATATACATACACTACATAAATTAATAATAAAATTAGTACCATGGTTATTTGTTGAAGTAATATACTGTCCTAAATATGTTTCGTTATACCGTGTTCTCTCAGAGTTAACACTCTCATCCTGCAAATAAAAGATATATTCTCAAATTCTACAATTCTTGTGTGTGTATTTTCAACAGTTGTGATTTTTATGTCACGATAAATTATGATAATATTAGCAACTTTGAAATTCTATGCTTTGTGACTTATAGGCCTCATTTCTAATTTAATAAGGTATGTATGTATTTGATATTTTCATAAAAGCAATACAGGGTTTGGCCAAGAAGTTTTGCCATCTATGAAAGGCACACATTTGATGCTATTATAAGCCATATTAACTGGAGAACATTTCTAAAATACTTCTATTTCACATGCAAATTTTATACTCTATATATTGATGGATTTGTTTCTTAGATTGAGATTCAGATGTGGCAATCAGTGAGAGAGGAAAAAGGTACAAGCCTGTCTCTACTTTTTAGATAGTTTGCTTAAGAGACAAAACAAGTTCAACTTTAATTGAAATATTGCGTGTTTGCTTGCTTAATTATTCTGTTATCCCTTAAATTAAATATTCTTTATAATAAGCGTGTCTTTGAACATGAAAAAAGATTAACAGCTCTGAGCGTGAAACTTTTCCTATCATGAGAGACATTTTAGCCTCATCGCAAGAAGACTTTTGCTTTGCTCAAACCATCCCGTATTTCTTTTTGACACTTGGAAGTATGCCTCTGCTTCTTTTATTTCTTTTAAACATTCTGGAGTTTTTGTTGTTTTGTTGTTAACTGTTGCCAAATTAATAATTGTTAGATGACAAATGTCCTTAAAAAGTGTTTTTCAGTAATTGTGCCTAAAGAAATACAGTTATAATTGTCATCAAACTAATTTCGTATGCATGTTTTTCCCTCCAAAACCATAAATTGTCCTCTTCCTTCAGGACACTGTAAACCTTGAATTAGAATCAAATCAACAATTTGCATTCTTGTAATGTGTAAATCCGTTCATTTTTTAAACACAGGAGTCAAAGACTGGCTGGCTTACATATCCTAAACAGTTTTAATATGAAAAAAATATATACAAATGTTTAGGAAAAAACAGTAGAATTAAAATCAATTAGAATATATGTATTAAAAGCAATATTAAGTTGTATCCATATTTTGTTCTTTTATTCTTTGGGTTACATTGGATATAAATGGATTGACATAACCTCAACCTGTAAATGCTTCTTTAAAAATCATGGAATTATGAATTTGATTCCCATTTTCAGTCTTCCCTAAGGCCCTTTCTGTATTATAATTTCTTGGAATGTATTTGTTCTTCTTTTCTATAATTTTTGCCGCATATGTCATTTATTAAAACAAAACAAATGAAACAAAAATTCTAAAAACTAAAAATACACCATTACTGGTTATATGTCTTTCTTCAGATAAATGCATAGTTCTGTAAATTCATGCCCATGATATCTTCACAGATTATCCATTGGTTTTCTTGGTTAGTAATTCTTGTACATATCCAAAGATAGGTCAGTTCAGAGGGTCTTAAGGAAGATGAAACTGCTGAAATAAAGACTGGACCAGGTTGGGAAATGAATCTCACTTAAAACAAAGATTGATAATAATCTCAAGCAAAAGTGGAAAAATATCATAATCTCTTGCCAGATTATAGCTTTACACATCCCATTTGGAGTTTAGTACCTAGTAATTTAAATATTTAAATTTGTGAGCATAAGAGGAAATATGAGATTTGATAACCTCAGAGCTTTCTAATACTAGATTTTGATAACATTTAAAAAGTCAAGAGTCCCTTTAATTTAATTATTATTCTAGTAGTTACTTTTGGAAAAATTGTTTGATTTAATTCTCTATCCCAAAACAATTTGCCAAAAAAACCCAGTGTTTTAAAAATGCCATATCCTTGTCTTTCCCAGTATTTTCATAAAAAATAACTGGAGAGAGAAAAACAAAACAAAACAAAGAGATGCATCAGCTGCAGCTACACATCAATTAACACATAACTGCTTCCAGTGCCCAACCTTTCTACCTCCGGTTTCTACTTTTTCTACCTCTAGTCGTTACTTTTTTTTTTTTTTTTTTTTTTTTTTTTTTTTTTTTTTTTTTCGAGACAGAGTCTGGCTCTGTCGCCCAGGCTGGAGTGCAGTGGCCGGATCTCAGGTCACTGCAAGCTCCGCCTCCCGAGCTTACACCATTCTCCTACCACAGCCTCCGGAGTAGCTAGGACTACAGGCGCCCGCCACGTCGCCCGGCTAGTTTTTGTATTTTTTTTTTTTTTTTTTTTTTTAGCAGAGACGGGGTTTCAACGTGTTAGCCAGGATGGTCTCGATCTCCTGACCTCATGATCCGCCCATCTCGGCCTCCCAAAGTGCTGGGATTACAGGCTTGAAATGCATTTTGCAGCTAGGCATGGTGGCTCACACCTGTAATCCCAGCACTTTGGGAGGCCAAAGTGAGTGGATCACCTGAGGTCAGGAGTTCGAGATCAGCCTGACAGATATGGAGAAACCCCGTCTGCACTAAAAATACAAAATTAGCCGGGCATGGTGCTGCATGCCTGTAATCCCAGCTACTGAAGAGGCTGAGGCAGGAGTATCGCTTCTATCCGGGAGGCGGAGATTGCAGTTAGCTGAGATCGTGCCACTGTACTCCAGCCTGGACAAAAAGAGCAAAACTCCGTCTCAAAAAAAAAAAAAAAAAAAAAGAGTTCTGTTTCTACGTGTATATTTTTAGTTTTTGGCTGTGACTCAAAATAGACTACAGCGCATTTTGTTTTTTAGCAACACTCGTGGAAGAAAATGTTACTCTCTAACTCATACACAGACATACACACAGATCGATTTTAAGAAACATTACTCCTTAAATGAAGCATACAAAATGAAAATAGTCTCATTTTTAAAATGTGTATGTTAAATTTTATTTCTCTCTAAAAGTACTATTTCCAGAAGCTAACATTAAGAAAATAGTAAAATTCATAATGATATTTAAATATTTTTTATGACCTTTACCATTCTTCCAGTAATTAAACATATTTCCAAGATATTTAAGGTCAATTTTAAGGAACTAGCATTCAGTACATGTTAAAGTTTAGCGGTTGACATATGTCAATGATAACATTTGTGCTCATAAAAAAATTCGTGAATCAGTAATGAGGGTTTCTATTTTAATTTTTATTAAAAAAAATAAAATCCTGAGGTTGCTCCTGAATGTCAGAGGTGATTATAACAATTTTGCTTTGTAAATACAATTACAGGTATTTTTGCAGTTTTTGCATAATGATAATTTAAAAACGTATTTTAAAGACTGCTTAAAAGTTAATTTTCACCAGGTGCATAATGAAGCCTGTAATTAGGCCTCCTTCAGAGGAGGTTTGATTGTGAAAATACACAGCAGCATTTCCTGAGATAAAAGTTCCTGCTAAAATGGGATTTGGGTTTTTAACTTTAGTTTGCTAATGGTTCTTGAAATGCGAGAAAAAAGTCATTCAGAAATATTTACAAAACAAATGCATGATTATTTATTTTATTGAGTATATAGAAGACATTTTCATACCATGTTTGGTAAATGAAATCCCATAGTCTGTTGCCAGAAATAAAACTGTTAAAAATATAAGAAGTACTCTCAATAATCCCAGTACATAATTTCTGGTTTATCCCATTGTTCTGTCAGCTTGTAAATGAGAGTTGTTTCTGTCACATAATACTTTGGGTGTCACTTCTTGGCAGCCAGAAACCTCTGTGGGGGGTGGTGCCTCTGCTTGAGATCTGCTCTCACCTGCCGAGCTTGTTCCCCCAACTCAGACCAGCAGGTTGCACTTGGCTCCCGATAACAGCCCGGAACCCATGCCTGCGGAGGGTGAGCCAAGTTCAGGACTACCAGGGGTGTTAAGCGAGCAAGTGTGGGGTCCTGCCACTCCGCACAACAAGGCGCTCTGGCTGCTGTGGCGCAGCGGGGAGCTCCAGGTGCCTACACAGGTGCCAGTGTTGTATAAGGCTGTGGCTGGACCGGGCTTACAGCAAGCAGTTTCTGCTGTAGACACTGGGGTCTGGATGAGGGGAATGTGGGGAACGTGGTGGCACACAAAAAAGTTGGAGACGCCAGCAACTGCAGAATCCCAAGGGGGGCGGGGTGCCACAGCTCTCTCATTCCCACCTCCAGCATCTCAGGAATTTATCATTTTTAATTTCCATTTATTTATTTATTTATTTTTTTATTTGGTTAATTATTATGCTGATCTTTTATCGTGTTTTTAAAATGCCAACTCATTGAAACCGTATTCTTGTTCATTCTTTTAATTCATATTTCCCAGGGACATAGACCAAGGCTCAGGATATAAAAGGTGCCAGTAAATTTTTCTTAAGTGACTAAGATTATAACAGCTTTTTCAGTCCTGTCACCTTGCTCTCACCTAGAACTCCCTGGTTTTCTCAGCCCTGTCATCACTTCCCATCACATGGGGTGGCCACCGAGGTCTATAGTGTTACAACTCTGGCTTGGGGAATCCTGAGGTCTGGGCCCCCAGAAGTGTTGGCAGTCTTCACTTTCACTTTCACGGACTGATGGTGTCACCACCCACAGCTTGGCAAGCTGGCCAGGAATGTGTTACAGCTCTTTTTAGGCCTGCTCACAGCTCAGCAAGAAGGCCAGGAAAGCATTACAGCCTTTTCAGCCTCCGCCATTTGGTGGGGCCCAAGCTCTTGTCCACATCCAGAAGGAATGAGGTTACACCAGTAACTGGAGGGTGAGCATGGCAGAAGACTTTTACCCAGTGACAGAATAGCTCTTAGCAGAGAAGAGACCCAAAGTGGGTAGCTCCTTCCCTCTGAGGGGTACTTCCCACGTCTGTCTGTGTCTGGGGGTTTTTATGGGCTCAGAATGAAGTACATGCTCATTGGTCTATGGGCTGGAGGAAGGGTATGCTGAGTGGTCCATTAGTGGGACTGGAAAAACCATCATTTGATTGGCTAACAGGCATCAAGGGCGTTTTCACTCTGCGTGTGGATTCTACGCGGAACTGGCAGCCTGGGGTTCAAATTTCAGGCTGTCTCCAGCCAGAAGGTGCGGTTCCACGGGAAACTTGCCCCTATTTGCCTAGAAATTTGCCGCCTGCTGATTTCATTTCTTTGATAAACTAATACTCACAATTCCTTCTTCCTCCATCGGCGACCTCCTTACTACCAATTCTTCAGATGGTTCATTTTTCAAAAGCACTCCCAAACTTCCTCACAGAGTCTCCAAGTAGAAGAAATTGTTATGCTTTATCTAATCAACTATATTGACTCATACAACAGAGTACAGTTGGATATATAATTCGAATAATATTTTTTTTAAATCTAAGTATTTTACTGTAAGAAGAAGATAAAGTTCTCAAAAAATAAGTTATTTAGGCAATATCCTATTTAGGATAATTTAGTTTATCCTAAACTATCTGACACTGGATAAGTATGTTTGCCTGTTTAGACATGAGTCTTCTTATCTGTAAAGCAAGATGTTTAGATAACTTATAATACTTTTTTCTCTATTTTATAGAAATAATTGTAGATTTAAATAGTTGTCAATTTTCATTACTTCTAAAATTATATATTATAAAGCCAATGCTTAAGTTCTATGAAAAATATTTATTTTATATAAAATCTCTTGAGGTGTTCTGTCCTCACCTGTTGAGTGCTTCTAGGAGAAAATCATATACCAGTTTAACGCTCCTATTTTTTCTGTTAGTAAGCATGCTCGAGTGCACTCACCCAACTCCTGAGGCCTTATCAGGAAGCTGCTGATCACCAGTTTCAGATGTTGCTACCTATTGGGAAACTGCCTTTCCCTGGCACTGGCTGCAACTAACTATTATTTTAGACAGACAGTTTTAACAACTT